AACCAGAGCAGCGCACAGAAACGCCATTTACCTTCCTGCCAGAGCAGTACCTATTTATCTACTTGCACTTTGATGTGCTTTCAAACTGCTAGGTTGACAGGAGCAGGGACTGAGCAACAGGAGCTCACCCCGTTGTGGGGATTTGAACCGCCGACCTTCTGATCGGCAAGTCCTAGGCTCTGTGGTTTAACCCACAGCGCCACCCGCGTCCCTCTTAAAAGGAATAGCTGTAACATAAACACATCCAGAATCTCACACTCCAGGAAGAGCCAACGTTGTGCTTTCCAGATGCTGTGGAGTCCAACTCTCCTCATCACTGACCATGGACCACGCTGGCTGGGGCTTTCAGGAGTTGTAGTCCAAAACATCTGGAAGGCACCACGTTGGCTTCCCATGTAACTGCTTTATAGGGATGCTTCATGGGAAGTGATCAAAAAGAAAGGAAAACTCAGAAAAAGCTTTCTCCTGCACTTTATCATGCTGGGGAAGCAGCATCTATTGAATGTCTACCTGCATTCACATGTTAAAGATACACAAGTTTGCCAGAAAATAAAATGATGGCCTGGAAAAGAAGGAAAACAGCTTGGAAACTCTTAGGAAGTGCTGCCACCTTGTGGGATCAGTTTGTTTTGGCATTTTCTGACACTGGAGAAGTGTGCATGCACACGAAAGCTTATACCCAGAACAAACTTAGTTGGTCTCTAAGGTGCTACGGGACAATTTTACAATTTTTAAATTTATTTAAATTGCGTCAGACCAACACGGCTACCTTCCTGAATCTGGAAAAGTCCTATTAGGGCTCAACTCCTGCACAAAGGCTTCAAATATTGTGAACAGTGATCTCTTATCCTTCTGAGCAGTTGGGGTACAGGCACTGAGATAAGGGGTGGACTAACTGAATCTTTCAGAAAGCCGAGCCTTCACTCCACCCCCTCCAACATTTCTCCAACGGAAACAGGGGCATCCGATTCTCACCACAGGGCAGTATAAGGAAAGGCTTCTAGCTGGGGTGCGGGACACATGCGGGCTTCGTGTTTACATTTATAGGGGTGCTCAGCACTGGCACAAAGTTCCATGGCAGAAAAAAGCTTCAGACATTCAACATTTCTTCAGGTTGGGCTGTTTCTTGGAGCTGGGGTTATTTACCAGTCAGTATTTGCTGGCCCCAAACTATGTTCTGCCAGGGGCACTCCTCACTCACCCTGGTGCTATTTATCCTAGAGCTGGCCCCGAATTATGTGTCATAAAAGTGTGTGCCAGCGATACACATTTTTGGGAGGTCAATAACAAAATTAAATGATCTAATAGAAGTGTAATACAGTGGTACCTCGGGTTACAGACGCTTCAGTTTACATACGCTTCAGGTTACAGACTCTGCTAACGCAGAAATATTATCTCGGGTTAAGAACTTTGCTTCAGGACGAGAACAGAAATCATGTTCCGGTGGCGCGGCAGCAGCAGGAGGCCCCATTAGCTAAAGTGGTGCTTCAGGTTAAGAACAGTTTCAGGTTAAGAACAGACCTCCGGAACAAATTAAGTTCTTAACCCGAGGTACCACTGTAGTCATTATCCTTTCAATTTGTATACTAACAAACTGTTTTTCAGTCATCACCTGGCATTGTATATTATTATTTTAGCAGTAGTAATTATTCCTGTTGTCATTATTTCATCGCCCATGAACATGACAGGTCCCTGCCCCAAGTAGCTTCCAGTTAGAAACAGATACAAGGGAGACAACAGGGGGAAAGAAAGAAATGGAGGCAGGAGTAAACTGGTGGTGCATGTGTAATCATTGCAACTCATATATTTAGTGTTATATATTTACAGCAGGGTATGGTGACTGGAGTTGGTTTTTTAGTGATTACAAAAAGAAGTAAAAGTATTTTGCCACACCACTCACTATAGAACACATTTAGCCAGGATGTTGTGTCTGCCCAGGGCCGGATTTAGGTTTGATGAGGCCCTAAGCTACTGAAGGTAATGGGGCCCCTTATATGTCCGGCTGTCCTTTGTCAACAACAAATTGTTGCTGTTTTTTGTGTTGAATATATGCTATATGGTAATTTATGGACTTAATAGGTCCATACACAACACAAAACACTGTTGCTGTATGTAGGTTTTATTTTATTTGCTTTTTATCTTATATTTTGGAAATGTACATCCAGTTTTGTTTTTCTTTAAAAAAATTTTGGGGGCCCCAAGAGAGTGCGGCCCTATGCTATAGCTTGTTTAGCTTATATGTAAATCTGGCACTGTGTCTGCCCATTGTAACAACTTCACAGGGGATGAGCTCCCACTCCCCTTCTTTAACCTACTGTGTTCATCACCCAAGTTCCTACATTCTGTTGAAATTGAACAGAGCTTGTGAAGGATGGTCTGACGGTGAAAGGAGGATCCCAGGTTATTTTTAGACGGCTGTTACCTCAAATGGGCCAGGCTGTGTCGGGATATCTAATGCTGAGTACCACAGGCAGGTTCTGTTGTCATGACAACTGCAGTCTTTCATCTCCAAAGAGGCTCCAAAGCAGGACATTGCTCTTAGGCTCTGAAGAGAGTCTAGGGATGCCTTAGGTAAGTGGGTTGGATGGATTAGCAGGTGTGGGGATGCTTCAGGGCAGGGATGGGGAATTTGAGTCTCGCCAGGTGTTGCTGGACTCCCAGCTCCCATCTGCCCCAGCCAGCATGACTAATGGCCAGGAATGATGGGGGTTATAGTCCAATAACGTATGGAATGCCACGGGTATAACGTAACAGCCTTGGGCAATTGGACTGCAGAGCATCTCTGCTAATAACAAAGGGGCAAAGACCTGGTTGAAAATTGAATCCTGCTACCAACCAGCAGCTTTTCAACCAGGTCTTTCCCCTTTGTGGACTGCAGCACTCATTTTATTGATTTCTTGAAAATATTTCAATCCCACATTTTTTAAAGCTCAGAGCAGTTCACAATTGAGTATTAAAATTGCAGCAAAACAAGCCCCTGTTCAAAACTAGCAGACAAATTAAATTGGGATCCTCATACCCTTTATTTATTTATTATGTTTCTAGCCCAGCTTTCCTCTAGGGAGCTCAAGGTGGCGAGCATAGTCCTCCTCCCCTCGCATTTTTATCCTCACAACAACCTTGTGAGGAAAGTTAGGGCAGACAGCAGCTGCAAGAGAGAAAAAAGAGGGCTTTTTTCCAGCCTCCGCTGTGAGGCTGCTACACTGGCTTTTCCAAAACACTATCCCCCCAAACCCAATTATATGAGACCCCCTTTTCTCCCCCCTTTAAAAACATCTCAGCTAGCTGGCTAAACCAGATGAGAGTAGCCAGTGGGTCTCAAACCCTCTGTGAGTTAGGGACTTGCCCTGCATGTGAAGACAGGCACTTTCTGCATGTGATGTAGAGGGAAGTGAGGGATGGATGGGGCTCACTGGGAAGGTAGCCTATCTCAGAGAAGGAAAACTCTGATCCTAAACCTCCTCTGCCTTGAGGGATATCGTTGGGAGAAGAAAAGTTATGCAATAAACCTGCACAAAACCGGAGTAGAGTCCCTAAGAGAGTTGGATGGCAACTCCTGTAGCCAAGCTGGTGCCAAACATTTTGCTCTGCTTTCCTTTGGACCACATCAGTGAGGCCGAGAGGGGGATCTTGTTGTCTGGGCAGCGCAGGACCTCCATACACACTGCCCAGGCTTGCGCCCCAGAGAGGTCACTTCAGTGCTGCTAACACAGTGGTTTGACTTCACCCCCAGAGGCGCACTCCATTGACTCTCCAGCAGGGCCGGATTTAGGTTTGATGAGGCCTTAAGCTACTGAAGGTAATGGGGCCCTTTATATGTCCAGCTGTCCCTAGTCAACAACCAATTGCCACTGTTTTTTAGGTTGAATATATGCTATATTTATGGACCTAATAGGTATCTATTATGCCAACAAAGGTCTGTATAGTTAAAGCTATGGTTTTCCCAGTAGTCATGTATGGAAGTGAGAGCTGGACCATAAAGAAGGCTGATCGCTGAAGAATTGATGCTTTTGAATTCTGGTGCTGGAGGAGACTCTTGAGAGTCCCATGGACTGCAGGAAGATCAAACCTCTCCATTCTGAAGGAAATCAGCCCTGAGTGCTCACTGGAAGGACAGATCGTGAAGCTGAGGCTCCAATACTTTGGCCACCTCATGCGAAGAGAAGACTCCCTGGAAAAGACCCTGATGTTGGGAAAGATGGAGGGCACAAGGAGAAGGGGACGACAGAGGACGAGATGGTTGGACAGTGTTCTCGAAGCTACCAGCATGAGTTTGACCAAATTGCGGGAGGCAGAAGTGGGCGACAGAGGACAAGATGGTTGGACAGTGTTCTCGAAGCTACCAGCATGAGTTTGACCAAACTGCGGGAGGCAGTGGAAGACAGGAGTGCCTGGTGTGCTCTGGTCCATGGGGTCACGAAGAGTTGGACACAACTAAATGACTAAACAACAACAACAACAACAGGTATCTCAAGCCATTTGCACATAACAAAATACGTATTTTATCAAAGTAATTGTTGAACTGAAATACAATTAAGAAGAAGTATATTAATAGATAAGATAAAACTTTATTCGCATTAGCCAATGGCCATAGCAACAGTAAAACATTACAGTACTGTATATGCAGAAAAGGAAATTTGATATAAGAGCACAATTTAAAGTCCTGAATCAGCCGTCAGTTAGTAGCCATTATTCTGATTGCCCCTGCTATGAACCTAGCAACCTTTGCTGTCATCTGCTCATTTTGATCTGATAGAAGTGGCAGTGGTTGAGTATATTAATAGTGAAATACAATTAAGAAGAAGTATATGGGGGGGGGGGGTCCCAAGAGAGTGCTATAGCTTCTTTAGCTTATCCGTAAATCCGGCGCTGCTCTCGAGACAGACGGATGCCAGCAGCAGCAGCAGGTGAAGCAATAAAACTGCCCGCACCTTTGCAGTGCAAAGCAGGCTCCGGCATGGTTTCAGAGTGGACTGGGGATCCTGCGTCGAGATCCCTGCATGGCACGGAGTTGGACGAGACGGCCCGCCCCTCGGGGCCCCTTGAAAAGTCTCCGGACGCTGCTGGCTGCGTCGGAAGGATCGTCGGAGGCCGCTTCGCCCAGCGGGCAGCCCAGAGCGCCCTCCGGCTCCGCCCTCCACGGCTGCGCCGCCCTCGCTCTGGCCGGGGAGGCTGTTGCTAGGAGACCGGAGGGACTCGGCCTGCGGCAAGAGGGGGAAACAGAGAGGTAGGCGCGGCGGCGGCGGCGGGGTAGCGAAGCCGGAGGGGGGGGATGCGCGGGAGGGGGGGCAGGTTTAACCACGACAGGAGACTGGCTGGGAAGATGTTTTGCGCCGCATCCAAGATCCGAACTGCCTGCCTGCCTGCCTTTCAGGGGGTGGTGCCACATCACCATATCAAAATTAGGACTGCGCAAGGGGGAGACAAGCCTAGACAGCATCTTCAAAAGCAGAGACATCACCTTGCCAACAAAGGCCCGTATAGTTAAAGCCATGGTTTTCCCAGTAGTGATGTATGGAAGTGAAAGCTGGACCATAAAGAAAGCTGATCGCTGAAGAGTTGATGCTTTTGAATTCTGGTGCTGGAGGAGACTCTTGAGAGTCCCATGGACTGCAAGAAGATCAAACCTCCATTCTTAAGGAAATCAGCCCTGAGTGCTCACTGGAAGGACAGATCCTGAAGCTGAGGCTCCAATACTTTGGCCACCTCATGAGAAGAGAAGATCCCTGGAAAAGACCCTGATGTTGGGAAAGATGGAGGGCGCAAGGAGAAGGGGACGACAGAGGACGAGATGGTGGGACAGTGTTCTTGAAGCTACCAGCATGAGTTTGACCAAACTGCGGGAGGCAGTAGAAGACAGGAGCGCCTGGCGTGCTCTGGTCCATGGGGTCACGAAGAGTCGGACACGACTAAACGACTAAACAACAGCAAAGGGGGAGCATCCAACATGAAGCATTTCTGTTGGATCCATGTTTTTTTTTTTTTAAATTAAAATCATGCATCGTCATCCGTATACCCAAAAAGCCTTTTCCTCCACCCCATTTATGTAAGAGTGAGAATTACCCAGGCTCAGGGGAGCTGTGTGTTTTTCCTCAGCTTCACGTGCCTGGAAGCAGGTGATCCCAGAGGAGCGACTCATGCGGAGATGCAGCCCTCCTTCCTTCCCCCCTGAGGCTGGGTAACTGGGCCTAAGGCAGGGGTGGGTGATCCAAAGGCATCTGATGGAGAGACGCCACAGACCAGAGCAGTGAATCATGCAAAGGGCACGGTGAGCAATCTTTGCTTGGTGCTTTGGGCTCTCAGGAGCCCTTGATTATGCCATTTTACTTCTTGTAGCCATTAGCAGTTATGTCAGGCCACACCTTTTGGGAATTAGTGCTTTAAGAGCTTCTGACAACAGGTGTCGTATGCTTTGTTGATGGGAGAAACCAGAAGATAGTCTCGTGAGCATGGGTTAGATGGCAAAACTGATCCCAGAAGGGAGGAATACTTTACAGGCAGGATAACACATCTAACAAGAAAGAAAAAGGGATTGTCTCCAACTTATTTGCCACTTCTTTAAGGACAGAGGCTCTGCTCCTTGAACAGATGCATGGCAGGTAATCATTTAAAATGGGAGCATTACCTGGCATGAAAAAGCAGTGACAGCAGGAGACACAAGTTGTTGATTTCTGACCTCTACACACTGCTTTAAAGAAAGCACAGAGCATCTGTCCGTAAACAACGTGGCAACGCTAATTTTTAGGAAGTGGGGCTTCCCCAAAGGACAACCAAGTCAGGCCACAATGATGTTTGAATATTTGCCATTTCTAGGCTCATCCATGCTTGCTTCCTCTCCTCTAATAGACATTCCTGGCAATTCTGGTCTCATCAGACGTGTCCCTCACAAACCTTTGGTAGTGTTGGTGGAAAAGCCTTCATAGCTAGCCTGTGAGGCAGTGGATTGACCCAGATTTGAAGCTTCAGGCAAGGTGAGTTCTAAGAATTGCAATAAAAATAATGGTGAGGGAAGGGAAGGAAATAAAAGGCAAGAAAGAGAGAGCTAGTGGACTTAATCTGAGGAGAGTCAGGTTCAAATAGGACTTAGCCATCAAGCTCACTGGGTGGCTTTGGACCTGCCATGATTTCTCAACCTTATCAATGTCACAGGATTATATGTGGATGAAAGGGGGAGGGACCATGCACACTATGCGTGGGGGATCTGTGGCCCTCCAGATGAGGTTGGACTACAACTCCCATCATTCCTGGCCGTTGATCGTGGTGGGGGCTGATGGGAGTTGGAGTCAGCATCTGTAGGGCTACAGGTTTCCCACCTCTGATGTTCATAATCCTGAGATCCTTAAAGCAAGGCCAGGATAATAAAGAAGGAATGGGTATGGACAACAAGTTAAATGAGGCTTCTGAAGAGCCATATTGGTGTGTCTATACCAGTGATGGCCAAACCTGGCCCTCCAGCTGTTTTGGGACTACAACTCCCATCATCCCTAGCTAACAGGACCAGTGGTCAGGGATGGTGGGAACTGTAGTCCCAAAACAGCTGGAGGGCCAAGTTTGGCCATGCCTGGCCTATACTAACAAAAGAGGTATAGGTACAGATGTGGTCTGACCATTAGAGCTGCCCCCCTTTAGCATAGACCAAAGGGGTAGGAGGAGGCTTGGGTTCCTCCTCTTTGTACTTTGTACTTTCCTCCATTATAGGTGCAGTCATGCCGAAGAAGAGAGGGCGCAAGCGGGCGGCCCTGACTGATGAAGAACGGCTGATTATGATGCAACAGAAGCGGCTGGCTGAGGAAGAAATGATGAAGAAGAAGGAGGACATGCTGGCCCAGTTCCTAAAGGTACCATTTGTTTGCCTGGACATAAAGGGGTTTGTTTGTGCTACAAGGAAGCATGAAGATATGTGGCATGTTGTGGGGAGAGGAGTGTCGGCAGACCTGCTCACAATTCAAAACAGTGCTCCAGGGGTCTTGTTTCCAAATGTGAGAGAACAGGGTGAATCACATAATCTTAGGGTGTTCTCAGCAGTGAGGCTAAGAACATCTTTTAGTCTGCAACGTGCCACTTGTAAGATAATGCAGGATGGAAAACAGAAAGAGTCATTTTAAAATTGTATGCTCTGACCGCAGCATTTTATGCAGTCAGGAGGTGAAAGAGCTTGAAACTAGCATGGTAGATTGTTGCGAGAGTTTATATGTAATCTCTGGAAGGTAAAAGGTCAAAACTAGGTTAGTGGTTTGGAGGCAGATGGGCAAGGCCAGACACAAACTTAATTGGGAAATCCTAGAATCTCAACACATTTTGAGCTCAGTACTTTTCCCCAGAGGAGAATTCTTTGAGAGCAAAATAGATGTTTAATTAAATGGCTGCCTGTATTGTTGGAGTTTATTTTAAAACTACTTTGAGGAAGTCTTTCAAGCTCAACACCTTTGGGATTTTTCTATAATTACTGTTCTGTACCATTTTGGGGGTCTTTGCTTCTGTTCTGCTGTAAGAGGGAAGACATAGAAGGCAAGCAGATGGGTAAATAGATAGATGTAGGCAGGCAACAAATTACTCTGATGGAAGAATAGTGAAAGGCCTTGGAGCCTATATTGGAGAAAGTGAGCTGTGGCTGTTTCTCATGGTCACCTGACCTCTTAACTCATGAAGATTCAGACCAGTGAGCAAAGTTACAGTGCAGCCCTTATTGACGCTTTTGATATTAAATTGAACTGATTGCTGCTACAACAATAGCCGATGCCAGGCATATATGACTTCCGTCACAGAAATCCAGTGAGAGAGCATTGACCCTATATGTGCCATAGGGAGCCATGGCAATGGGTGAATTTAAATTTAGTACCGGAAGCTTAGATTGTGTGTCACTCTAGTTTTTATCATATCTCTTTTGTTCTGACAGAAGGTTTCTGCCAATTAAGCTGGAAATGCTTTCAGTTCCTTTTCTTACCAACTGACTTGGTGGCATATTGAGTATGAAACTGGAATTGGGTGATGTAATGAATAGTTTCAAGTAAACATGGCAATAGAGTTGGAAGACCCGTGATACAAATCCCTAAATTTAAAGTGGTCCTACAGTGTCTTCATGAACACCTCCGAAGACGTTTCACAAGTCCCCCAGTCTGTCTGTTATATTGACATGGCCTAAGGGGCTTTACATTTGGGAAGTATTTCCTGATGATCATTTGAAGGCACTCCCACATCACTTTAAAAGGATCAGTGCTATTTCAATGCAGTTGATCAGCACAGAACATGTTCAGGGTGTTCAGTTGACACTGGGGCTAATATGTGACCAGTGTAAGTGGTGTCTGACCTGTGGAGAAGGTTGCCATCCTAAGAAAATAAGAAAATTCCTTTTTGATCAGACCAAAGGCTCATGTAGTCCAGCATCTTGTGTTTATTGATCAGTCACTAGTTTTGTGATCACAATGGTTTTAGGAAACAAATTTTACTGCCTACTACCTCTATTCTTTGTCTGGTTCCTTATCTTGCGATGTCTGGGATGTGTTGGGCTTGCCTGGGTAAAGTTGTGGCTCTTAATACAGGAAAAACTGGCCAAAGAGGAGCGCAACAGTGAACTAAACCTGCACAAGATCACCCTACAGTGGCGCACGGTGCTCCGGGAAGTCAAGGCCAGGGAGCTGCGTAAGGACATTGAGATTCTTAGCCAGACCTTTGAACGTGTGGTGGACTGCAAAGACAATGTCATTAAGGTGAGCCCTGGCCGGGAAAAGCCCTTGGAATGAGACTGTGAAACTGTTAATGGCTCTCTTAGAGATTGGAGAGGGAAGTCACGCACCTTCTGAGACTCACTGCAGCTCTGTGACACTTGCCAATAAGGAGCAAAGGGGAATAACAAAGGGCACATCTGTACTGTAGGCAAAAGTGGTTTGCACTTTGTACAATTCTGCAATGACCTCTTAACAGTTCTTTATTATTGCTATCAGTGGGTCCCAGTGGTATAAGATAGATAGATAGATAGTTTATTACGGCCATAGGCCCATATTCAATACATCACACAGCAACACAGGTATAACAAGATAAAACTGATAAATTAAATTACGTTTAAATCAAGTACGTCTCAGACCGTAAGTTTCTAAATTCCATTAAAATAAGAACAATATGGCACTTAAAATATCAAATTATCAGTATAAATCAATATTATTTAGGCAAAATCAATAATCATAGAGTAATCCATTTTTCTTTTTATAGGCTAATACTGTTATCAGAAATCTGGCAACAGAAAGGGACCTACTCGGATCAGAATCTTGCAATAAATGAATTAGCTGTATTTCCAAGGAGTCACCTGAGATTTCCAATAATAAAGGGGACAAAAATCTGATCCGAGAAACTGAATGTAGTGAACAACAGAATAGTATATGTTGTAAAGATTCTATAGATCTATTATCGCATACACACACCGCTGAGATCCGACCATTGGAAAATCTATTATTCAAGACATTGGAAGGAAAGGCATTAAATCTTGCCTTAATAAAGGCATATCTGTGGGCCGCTACAGACAAAGAGGTCAAATAAGATGGTATCTGCTGTGGGGGCACTATGCCCAGTGGTATAAGAACTGAATGCAGTGTGGAATGCCAGGGCCAATCCACAGCAGATTCAGTTCAGACGCTTTATGTGTGTTTACCAGCTTAATATAAGCTATTTCAGATACCACAGTTTATTATTTTAGGTCTTGGCATTCTCAATATTTTTAGTGTGGAATTCTTTAGCTCTTTAAAACAGATTGGTCTCCTGCTGTGGTTGTCTGATCCATCTCTGTCCCCTCCAGTCCCTCGCTAAGGACCTCATGGAGGCAGAAGCTCAATATGCGCATGCTTTGCGCAGCCACTTGCACAACATAGACCAGCTGTTGGAACTCCAGCGCTGCCGCATTGGCTACTTGGAGGAGGATTACCAAACGGAGCTGCAAGCTCTGCAGAAGGAGTTTGACACAGAGAGGTAGAAGGGAAGAAGGGAGGGAGGCTGGGAAAGATGGTGCCTCAGCAGCCGTGGAAAACTGTGTTTTGTTGGACTCTTAGAACTCAACTGGCTTTTCATATTTTCACCAGGAAGATAATTATAGGTCACCATAATCTAGAGAGCCGGTACCTGCAGGATGTGCTGCTGGCTATGGAGCAAAACTTTACTGACAGTGAATACGAGGCCAGGCTCGACTTCCAGAGTACAAGAGATGACGTCAAGAACAAGGTCTGGGTTAAAACTCGGGGAGGAACTTATGGCAATTTCTAAGTTTGCTAACGAATGGGAGGATTTATCATACAGTGGTGCCCCGCAAGACGAATGCCTCGCAAGACGAAAAACTCGCTAGACGAAAGGGTTTTGCGTTTTTTGAGTCCTTCCACAAGACGAATTTCCCTATGGGCTTGCTTCGCAAGACGAAACGTCTTGCGAGTTCTTGCGAGTTTGTTTCCTTTTTCTTAAAGCCGCTAAGCCACTAAGCCGTTAATAGCCGCTAAGCCGTTAATAGCCGCTAAGCCGCTAATAGCCGCTAAGCCGCTAATAGCCGTGCTTCGCAAGATGAAAAAACCGCAAGACGAAGAGACTCGCGGAACGGATTAATTTCGTCTTGCGAGGCACCACTGTATTTTGAAATGGACAGTATCCTCAGGAAAAAATATATGCACGTTTTAGCAATGGCGTAGCCTTGAAACCTGCCTTTCATAGGCCTTTTAAAACTTATTTAATATGCAAGTTAGGGCATCATTATTTCATAATCAGCTGTGTGCTGATGCTCTCCTTTTTTCCTTTTGATTGTTTTAGCCCATTTCAAGTGAGTTTTAATTAGTTACACTGATTTATCTGTGAATGCCAGTTGCTGGGAATCACAAGGTTATGTTATGTTCAGTTCCTGCTTTGAGGCTGCCTGTAGGCCTCTGGTTGGCCACTGTGAGAACAGAATGCTGGACTAAATGAACCATTGGCTTGATCCAGCAGGCTCTTCCAGTGTTCTTATGCGTCTGCTATGTGACAATATATTGGTTAATTTAAAAAAAAACAAAGAAAGAAAGAATGTGGGATGGGTAGAAGCTACATGGAGATGTTCAACAGAGGTTTAGTCATGCCAGGACTTTGAAATTATAAAGGTTCTAAATATATCCTGCACCCAATATCAGGCATCTCATTTGACTGGAAGCCTATATGTATATTCCTTCAACTCTTTGTTAACACTCATCATCATATACTTCGTTTGAGTTTATTTCCCCTCCATTGATTTGTAGCTGCCACTAGTGATGAAGGGCCCCAGCTCAAACACATTTTATGTAATCAAAATACACCCATTACCATCCCTGTGCTTTTTTGCACATATAGCTATAGTCAGTGGCTGAACTGGTCTACAGGCAGAAACATGGAACCACCTCTGCTGTATATTTCTTTCTCTCTTCTTCCCAGTAATGTGTAGCGAATCAACTCATGACCTGATTTTGTAGCCCCTTCACCCCCACATAATTGGCTCACAGGCTGGGGGAATGCGCAGGCGGATGGTGTCATTTCCATGCATTGTGTTATGCCACACATTACTGGGCGGGGAAGAAGAAAGAACCCACAGAGCTGATGCTGTAAAATCCAGTTCCATGTAAGATCCCAAGAAGAGCCATATGAGAGATTCTAGTGATTGGGGAAACAAGACTGTAGCTGAAACTATGTGCAGGTCCTCCATATTTTCATTATTTCTCCAGGTACAAGGTTTCTTGTTGCTGGAGCCCATACTCATGATTTTAAAACCCCCAAAGAAAACCAGTTGGGCATACTAAGGCTTTTTATTTATTTATTTATATTAAATTTCTGTACTGCTGTTCATCCAAATATGACAGGGCAATTTATAATCTAAAATTACACAAATATATAGCATAATAACAAACAATAACAATTTTTTTAAAGGGCAGATCCTCCACACCATACATTTAGAGCACATCCAATGCACATTTAAAGCTCACGACTTCCCCCAAATAATCTTCCAAAGTATAGTTTCCTCCCGTAGAGCTACATTTCCCAGCATCCTTAACAAACTACAGTTCCCAGGATTCTTTGGGGGAAGTTATGAGCTTTCAGTGTGCATCAGATGTGCTCTAAATGTATGGTGTTCTTTTGCTTGGGAAAGGAGTTCCTGGGGAGGCTGATCTTGGGGTAGTCCAAAATGAGTCAGTTAACTGGAAAACTCCAGAGCAGACCAGAATAGGACCGGCTGTTCTGCTAACAGAATACTAATCTGTGTTCATTTCTGCCCCAGAACTTGGAGGAGAAGCATTACCTGCGCATGCAGTTGGAGGGTAAAGTGGAGGAGCTGTGGAAACGCTTCCAACAGGCCTTGCGTACTTACACAGAGGCAACGGAAGACCGTAAGTTTGCCTTTGAAGGCCTCAAACGCAGAGATGAGAAGAGCACCAAGGAGATTGAGATGCAGATGAGGAAACTGCAGAAGATGCAAGTGAGTGGCCCTGCTTGGGCTGGTCGGACCAGGGAAACATTTGGGCTTTATTCAGGCATTGCTTTCTCCTGCAGCTGAGATATTGCTGGGCTGTCCCTTCTACGCAGTGGTGTTCTTTCAAAATGGCAGCATTAACAGCCTCCCCAAGTTACCTTCCTTGACCTATATCCCCCCACCCCTTGCAATTCACCATCAAGAGAGATACCTAACCGGTGGCCCAGTTTCTAGAATTGGCAGTCCACTTGCAATGACCTCCAGGAGTGTGTGAGGTTGCCACTTGGCTCACAGCTTAGTTGGGTTCCCATGGCGGAGACACTCTTTGCAGGGCCTTTACCTGCATTGGTGATTATCATGGCCTTGTCTTGAAGTGTTGCTGTTGATTGCAGGAAACAGGGTGTCTGTGAATTAATTTATATGAATTATCCCCTCTACGTAAGGGACGTGGGTGGCAGGTGGCGCTAAACCACTGAGCCTCTTGGGCTTGCCAATCAGAAGGTCGGCGGTTTGAATCCCCACGACGGGGTGAGCTCCCATTGCTCGGTCCCAGCTCCTGCCAACCTAGCAGTTTGAAAGCACGCCCCAAAAGTGCAAGTAGATAAATAGGTACCACTCTGGCAGGAAGGTGAACGGTGTTTCTGTGCGCTACTCTGGTTTCGGTGTTCCGTTGCACCAGAAGTGGCTTAGTCATGCTGGCCACATGACTAAGCCACTTCTGGTGCAACGGAACATCGAAACCAGAGTTTCTCTGCAGACAAATGATGGCTCCCTGGCCTGTAAAGCGAGATGAGCGCCGCAACTCCAGGGTCGTCTGCAACTGGACTTAACTGTCAGGGGTCCTTTACCTTTGTATCCCCTCTATGTGGGTAGATCCTGGACTGGCTGCCATTCCAGTGGTAGCCGTGGAGGTCATGCTGGATGGAGGGAGCATTGAACATTTGATTTGGGCCTGCAAAGCTCAGTGGACAGAATCGGAAGGCTGGAAAAGATCGAAAATTCCTCAGCCTCCAGCACTCTTCTCCATAAATCGACCTTCTCCCCCTCATCCCACCAACAGAAGAACCTGGGGGAAAATAGATTCATGGGCAAACGTCTGGTGATGCACATCAGCGGTGGGCGGAGCAACAGATCCTCCTGAAACCTTGCCCCCCCCATCTCCCATGCCTTATAAATATCTGCAGTTGTTCCTCATCCCATTATTAATCTGAACCCCCACAACAGTAAAATCTCACACCACCAAAGCTGCAAACCAAAATGGCCATCTAATTGCACCTCTTCCTGCAGCCATGAGTTTCAGTTTATAGTTGCCACAGAAGCCCTCCTGTCGGCTGACTAGATCCCTCTCTTGTCACCAGGACCTCATTGGCATCCTGAAGAACAAGATTGCTCTTCATGCACGGGAGAGCGAGGAGCAGAACCGACGAGTCCGCGATGAGAAGGAGGTGGTGCTGAAGCAGCTGCAGAAGCTCAAGAGCGAGATGAACCGGGCCAGAGCCAAGGCCCGTAGCAACCTGGCTAAGCTGTCCAGGGAGAGCAGCGGGGCTCTCAAAGTGTTGGAACGTGTTATGCAGAAGGTAAAACTGTATGCACTTTTGGTTAATCATGGTCTACCCATGTGTGGTGTAGAGAGGCAGTGTGGTGTAGTGGTTAAGAGTGGTAGACTCGTAATCTGGTGAACCGGGTTCCCGTCTCCACTCCTCCACCTGCAGCTGCTGGGTGACCTTGGGCTAGTCACACTTCTGTGAAGTCTCTCAGCCCCACTCACCTCACAGAGTGTTTGTTGTGGGGGAGGAAGGGAAAGGAGAATGTTAGCTGCTTTGAGACTCCTTTGGGTAGTGATAAAGCGGGATATCAAATCCAAACTCTTCTTCTTCTTCTCAGGCTCCTTCCTCCCACAAATTGAGAAAGTACATAGGATGGGGAGAACGAAGTTGGCTGAAACAGTGGCGTCGCAATGGGGGGGTGACGGTGCGCCAGTGTGCCCCGGGTGCCATGTCTTGGGGGAGGTGATAAGAAGGCACCTCATGGCGCCGCATGTGGAGGATCCTCAGGGACTGCAGCTGCAAGCAGAGGATTCCGGTGCCAGTGGCAAACCGCTATGTACAGCGCACATGCGTCGTCGCATGCATGCGCTGTATTTAATGCCGCCGCACATGCACTGTACATAGTGGTTTGCCACCGGCGCTGCTTCAGCGCCGTACGGATGGCGGTGGGATCCCTCCACTACAGCCGCAAACGGAGAATCCTGCAGCCGCGAGCAGAGGATCCCGGCACTGTCCGTACGGCGCTGGAGTGGTGCCAGCAGCAAACTGCTATGTACAGTATACGTGCAGCGTCGTTACGTACAGTGCATGCATGCGCCGCCGCACATGTGCCGCACATAGCAGTTTGCCGCCCTGGGTGTCACGACCCCTTCGTTCACCCCTGGCCGAAGAGAACATGCAGAAATCAAACTTTTGGTGGTCTCTGGTAGCCCTTGGGATTCCCAAAATGGAGTTCAGATCCAGGAGAGTTCTTGCAGATTATGTGCAAGCACAGCTTTGGCCTATAAAAATAGCAGCTGGTTGGCTCCAAATAAAGCTGTTTTAGTGGAGACTAGCTTTCGGGGGGGGGGGCGCTACCGCCTCCTGAATGGACACAGATGCCTATACTGCTGACATTTCCAAGGCAGGGAGGAATGAGCCAGGTTTTACCTCCCTTGCTGAGAAGCGCCCTTGCTTAGAGGAATTGCCCTTTGTTTCCCATGTTGCATATGAGATATATTACACTCGTGAGCAGCTGAGGTCTGGTAGTGTGGAAAATAATAGGGTTAAAAACCTCTCACCTATTTCCCCCCTACCTTTCTTTAAACTATTTTAAGAAGCAATGGCTACTCTTTGTGCATGTGCTCCCACATCACCTTGGAGAGCAACTGAACTTGCCTCTTGCCTCTCTTAGTCCTAGCCATGCTGGAACAGAAAGCACTTCCAGAGGAGGAGCAGGGAGGGAGCTGCACAGTCTATTGGGGGCAAAGATAAGGTGTTCTTGACTGGGGAAAGGAACAAACAGTGGCTGGGACTGCTCAAACAGAAGAGATGGCTGGGAATTCCTGCGAGAATAAGAAATGGTGAGAGTGAGAGAGAAGCAGCAGTAGTGAAGGCTACACCTTATCCTTCTAGGCTATATGGAGGTTTTTAGCATGTGGTTCCTTTTAGCCACCACCCCTCTTGAATGCATAGCTTTCTTGTGCAAGTTTACCCTGATTATTAAAGCTGGACCCTTTACTTTTCTATCCTATGATGCTCTGTTTCATTTTTCAATTTCAGATCCTGGTTCGTTTTTAGTGGTTTTATATCAATGGGGGTTTTTGTACTTGAGTTTTTGTACACTTGAGATCATCTATCTATTTTATCTATCGGTTTAGAAAGGTTCTTTAAAAAAATTAATGCTGGTCCTTCCAGCCTCAGATGGCAGGAGAGGATGCAAGCCTTCCCAAGACTCCTTGTCTCCTCTGCCTTGAAAGGATGATGTTCTTTCCAGACACTTTGGGCAGCATCAAAAGCACTCATTTGATCAGCACAAGGAGTTTTGGCTGTGCTCCTCTCCCTGTGCATCCCTTAAGTCTGTTCTGGGATTCCCCCCAACCTTCTGGAGCAGATTTGGGGACGGTGCAGGGCATGCATGCGGGGGGTGGGGATTCCATTGTGCAAACCTAATTCCTTGCACTATAACAGAACAAGTGCTTTGCATACTATACCGTGTGCCTGTAAATCTTGTCACATAATCTTCTCTTGCCAAGGAGCTGCCCGCAATTCTGGCTCTCTTTTGAGCGTCCCTGTGTGACAGGCATGTTGCCACAGATGTGTTCGTCCCAGTCACATGATATTTTAGTGTACATTTAAATAACTCCAAATCTTAAATCTCTTCATGGTGCGGAGAACCCATATGTACTCTTGTGTGAAAATTGTGCATGGCTCTCATTTTGTCACAATAATTCACTTAGAAGCCAGGGTGCTGAGCAGCTCTCAGAGGACAGTTGTGTGTGCAGTACATGTCCCTTCTTACACAGATTAATTCAGCATTGGGGGGGGGCATCATGTGTGGTGTCTCTTAAAGGTACAGGAGCCCAGGGATGATTGTCATGTGGCAACGAGATAGAGGCTGTGTTCACACTGCACCCAATGTGCTCCCACCACTGGTTAGAGAAGTAGTGTGCACATGGCATTATCCACAATTCATATCTATGTGGTTGTTTCTTACGAAATACTGTGTTGTGATGTGCTTCCCCTCAAACCAGCTTCAATCTGGATTGAGAAAAAGAACAATTTAGCTGCATTTTGAGCCATTAATGTGTACACAGCCATATAGCCTCTTCTTCCCAAAGGAGCCATGCATTGCTTGAAAGTGCCCTGACATAGTGGTGGAAACTCAGAACTCCCAGAGAGCAAAGCAGATTCCGTGCATGCTGCTCTTTTAGCCGAGATGTACAGTTCAGAGTTTCTCTCATGTGACTGGGCAAAAACAAGCAAGAGAACTGGGCCAAAACAAACAAGATGAATTTTAACAGGGAGAAATGTAAAGTATTGCACTTGGGCAAAAAAAATGAGAGGCACAAATACAAGATGGGTGACACCTGGCTTGAGAGCAGTACATGTGAAAAGGATCTAGGAGTCTTGGTTGACCACAAACTTGACATGAGCCAACAGTGTGACGCGGCAGCTAAAAAAGCCAATGCAATTCTGGGCTGCATCAATAGGAGTATAGCATCTAGATCAAGGGAAGTAATAGTGCCACTGTATTCTGCTCTGGTCAGACCTCACCTGGAGTACTGTGTCCAGTTCTGGGCACCACAGTTCAAGAAGGACACTGACAAACTGGAACGTGTCCAGAGGAGGGCAACCAAAATGGTCAAAGGCCTGGAAACGATGCCTTATGAGGAACGGCTAAGGGAGCTGGGCATGTTTAGCCTGGAGAAGAGGAAGTTAAGGGGTGATATGATAGCCATGTTCAAATATATAAAAATATGTCACATAGAGGAGGGAGAAAGGTTGTTTTCTGCTGCTCCAGAGAAGCGGACACGGAGCAATGGATCCCGTACTACAAGAAAGAAGATTCCACCTAAACATTAGGAAGAACTTCCTGACAGTAAGAGCTGTTCGACAGTGGAATTTGCTGCCAAGGAGTGTGGTGGAGTCTCCTTCTTTGGAGGTCTTTAAGCAGAGGCTTGACAACCATATGTCAGGAGTGCTCTGATGGTGTTTCCTGCTTGGCAGGGGGTTGGACTCGATGGCCCTTGTGGTCTCTTCCAACTCTATGGTTCTATGACTGTTGGCAACTAAACCTACATTACAAACTTATATTGGTTTTATACTCATTTAATTGCCATGGCTTTCCCTAAAGCGGAATTGAGGAACTTACGATCCTCCCGTTGTCAGGACCACCAGTTCCACCACTCCTGACCACTGGCCAGGCTAGGAGTTCTGGGTGCTAGAATCCAGCAACAAACATCTGGAGGAGCACAAGCTCCTCACCCCACTCTAAAAAATCCCGGGAATTGTAGTTTGGTAAAAGTGTGCCCCGGGTGCCATGTCGGGTGTGTGTGTGATAAAAGTGCTGAAAATCCTGTGAAGGGATTCCTAGCTCTCCAGAGAACTAAAACTCCCACATTAGAACTATACAGAGACACTCCAGTGCCAGACCCTGGGAAGTGTATCCTGTGCCAGATAGAGGAAAACTGAGTCTGATTATTGTTCCCCGTCCCCCATAGGCAGAGCTGATCCTGCGCCTGGCTGAGATGTGCCGCAGGCTAGAGTCGGAGGAGGAGAAAGTGCTGCCATTTTATGCCAGTTCCCTGACCTGGGAAGAACAGAAGACTGTGGATAAGGTGGTCCTGGAGAAACCGGAAGAGCCACTAGCCCAGGTGAATTGTCTGTGTGTGGAAAGGGGAGGAAGGCATGTGTGCCTGCTTCACCAGCAGAGGAGGAAACAGTTCTTTCAGTTCATTGTCAGGATTATTCTGTGTCTCCAGTTTAGCATTCAGGGCTGTTCTTTCCCAGAAGATTGGTCAGATTGAGGCAATACAGCCCTGGCACCAATGGGAACACCCACCCCAAGGCTAGCAGCAGCAGCTGGGGTGGAAGGGTTTCCATTCAGACCATGGCAGGGGCAGAGTTAACCCCCATGTCACAGCCCCAATCCTGATCAGGCTCCCTATGTCTGCTCTTCACAGCAGGGGAACCACCATACAACTTCCAAGTGATGCACTTAGCATCATGCAGTTTTCCCCTTTGCCTCTGATACTTTCCCAGAATGCATTCTGCCTGCCTCTCTATCCAGGCCCACCTGACTTTGTGGCATTTGCTTGCCACACAGCTATAGGAAATAATCTTTGCTACAAGACCTTTGGCTGCTACATTCACAAGCATTTCCCGATTTAGCAGATAGAGCAGTTTGTTTCTCCCAGTGCAGCCACGGACTCAAAGCAGGGATTCTTGTCCAGAGACTCCTTAGAACCAACCCAGAAGCCTGTCTTTTCCAGATGATGCAGGATTACGTGGGGCTGGAGCGCTTCTGGCAAAGATACAACAAGGTGAGGCTGGAGCAGCTTTCGCTGGAGCGGACGAAGCAAGCGCTGCTCCAAGACAACCTCAGGCTGAGGCAGCTGCTCAAGCAGTACCTGGATGGCATCTCGGTGAACGACGAGGTGCTGAGCCAGATCAATCCACTGATGATTGTCAACCAGCAAAACGTTGCCCCACCTTCGTCCCAGCCTGCCAAGCAGCCCATCTATAACGTGGTCGAGGCAGCACTCGAGGTCAAGCGGATCCTCTAAGTCAGCAGCGTGTGATTTCAAACTATCCTCCTCTGTCATGTTAAGAGACCACTGGGCATAAAGAAGAGTGAGGCCTGTTGAGGAAGGGCCGATACCTGTCATTAAACGGCTGAACAGAGCTGAGCTGATGCGTACTAGAGCCTTTTCTTTCCTCTGCAAGCAAAGCCCCCGAGGCTGGTATATTGGGAACTCAGATTTATGGTGTGTCTGCTGCCAGTGGTTTCTTTTACAGGCTTGTGCACAGGCCTAAGAGCTGTTTGCAAAGGAGGCGGCTAAGCACTTGCGCAGGTGCCAACTTTTGTGTGTGATTCCTTTCCAACATGCTTGCTTTTTATTTAATTCTCCATCCTAGAGTTCAGAGTAGAGGTAGGGTTTAGCTGACTTAATACCCCTGCCAAATGCTGGGAGATCAGATCTATCGTGTGTGTGCTGCAAAAAGTCCTTTACTTTGCACGACTACAATTCCCAGGGCCTCCAAGGAAGATGTAATTAGTTAAAGCTCATTGTGCAAATCAAGGGTGCTGCCTGGGCTTCTGCTTCAGACGTTGCTGGGCTTCTGCTCCTGAAGTACCTGGCCTTTGTCCATGCTGGCTGGAATGGTGAGAGCTGGAGGCCCCCGATGTCTAGAGAACATATTGCAAATATACCTGAAGGATTGCAAATGCATCACTCTGCCCCCTGTTGCAGCACAATCTAGGCCATGGGAATTGTAAACTTTGTAAAACATTACATGAGCACTGCTCAATGTATATTCTGAAAGGCCTGCCAGTGCTTTGCTAGACTAGACTCTCATAAATATGCAATCTTCGAGTGACCAGCTAGACGGAGCCGCTTATATATTGCAATAATACTCCGTAGATACCCTTCCCTGGTTAAAGACTGTTCAAACTACTACATCCTAGTAGGTGAGACCAGCCCTTCATCCAACCTACCCCTTCCCTCCGCTTTATCGTGAAGGTGCGAGCACAACAGAGCAGAACCCCACAAGAGAAGCAACCGCAAAGCCATGTCCAAAAAGGTGAGGGGGCACTTTATTTCTTCTTAGCCTTGTTTCTCTTCTCCTCCTTGAGTTTCTTCTTGGAGACACGGGGTGCCCGGGCTTTCTGGTACAGGTGGTAGCCAATGAGCCCCAAGAGCGCAGGGACAAGCCCGATGCAGAGTAGGGGCAGCACGTCATTCAGCATCTTCTGCCAGTAGGTGGCTCTGGACAGCCCCACCAGCTCCACCTCAAACTGCAGGACTGCATCAGCTGGAGAGAGAGGAGGGAGTTGGGTGAAGCAGCGCTGGGAGACAATTCAGGCAAGGCAGGTCCCTAGGAAATCTGCCCTGTCAGTGTTAAGCATCTATGGCAGCTAGAGAAGCACAAACAAGGCTTTGCGCTGCTCAGTGGTGCTGTCAGGACTTTGGGGGCTCGCTCAAAAAAATTAGCAAGAGGCCCTCCTCAATATCATAGTGCAAACTGCACCCACTGGTGCTGCTGCAACTAAATGTCACTTCTAGCATAGGAGAAAAGAGAAACTTAGTTCTGCTTCCCTGTGCTAGGCAATCGGTCCCTCCAGCCCCATATCCTGTATTGGCAAAAGGTAACTTTTGCAGAAGGACTGTGGCTCAGTGGTAGAGCACCTCTTTTGCATGCAGAAAGAAGCACACCCATTCCCCGGCCTACACAGGTAAGGTTGGAAGAGAATCCTGCCTGAAATCTTGGACAGTCACAGCCAGTCAACGTAGACCACACTGCGCTTCCTAGGTTTCTCTGAGGATCTGTATTGTCCATAGGATGCTCCACGCGAGAGACCCAAAGGGTTGCCTTCACCCTCTTTATGCCGGCATCCCTGCACTGGTGCAATTGGTCAGGGCACAAAAGCCAGCAGAGAACACAGCCACCAATCTGCGTTTGCATGGAGGCTCAAAATGCACGGCTCTGCAGGCTACATGAACTGCCAGGCCAAGGGCAGAACGTAAGCAGGGCCACGGCTGCTTGTCTAACTGCAAACTATATGCAAACTAATTCCTAGGGGAGCATATACTTCGCCCAAGCTGATACCTAGATTGCAACCACATATGCCAGCCACACTTTGGGGGCAGCCGCAGATCCTTAAAGCAATGGGGTTAATGTGGGTGATGAGCACAGGGCGGCTTCAGCTGAGGATGCCATCCCATCCAGCCCCAATGCCAGCAGCTAGTAAGTCAAACATCCTAATTCTTTACTGAACTGGCCAGATGCTCCATTGTGAGCTACACAGGTTGGCCACCATGTTTTCTCCAGAAGTTGTGTGCATTCAGTAACACTGCAACGCCTGTGGATGCGGCTCTTACCTCACACGTTCAAATGCAACTCTGGACTTTCCACACGTTTGTGTGAATTTTGTCCCATTCAGTCAACACGCCTGAATTCACCTTAGGTTAGGGTGCATTTTCACTAGAAATGTGAAACCACGGCTCAGCCCAGAAAACTTTTTTAAATGCCTTGTTTCGGCCCAGGAAATTATGAAGTAATAATAAAGAAAAGAGTGCTTCTGAGTGTGTGCAGAGTACATTTCGCCAATGCTTAACTACAGCAATTCTTTGCAGATCTGGGTGTAGGAGCATAGCTAGGAATTTGCTGCATGCTGCAGCAAAACTAAAAGCCCTAACGGGCCACTGGGCTCTGCTTCAGGCGTGAAAACCTTGAACCAACACGGCTTCTGTGCAGGATTCAGGCTCAGCTCACCCCTTTTTAGAACTTAAACCCACTGCTTGCTACCGCTGCTTCGTGATAAGCAGGAGATGAGAAGGGAATGGAAGGAACTAAATATCTTGCATTTAAAAAGAAGTCTGATGGAGAAATCCTGTCTTGCAACACTGTACCAAGCACCCCACATCGCCTCTTTCTCATGCAGTCACCCAGTGATAGTTCACATCTAGCTATCCCACAGCATCAAAATGCTGTAAGAGACCACCCCGCTACAGTCAGTCGCTTTCCAAGCTCCCCTTTTCAGTTCCTCAACCCCAAATCAGAGCCCATGTGCCATCTGTACATCCAAAGGCAACGGAAGCCGATAGACCAGCCTAGAAAAACACAGCCTGCCAAGATGTCCTGCCGAATGGCCATCAAGTAGGTGCTAGTCGCTGGATTGTACCTGGGACAGCTGGCGGGGAACCTCGTTTGCCGTATGCCAGGTGAGGGGGGATGATGACTCTGCGTTTTTCCCTGCCAGGAAGAAGGAATGCCATGTCAGCATATGAGGACAGGACACGGGTGTACAAAGCTGTTGACTTCAGTGGGGATTCATTGGGCATTAAAAAAAAACAAAAAACCCGGGCAGAAAATTGCAGTCGTCAGTGAAACAATCTAGAAATTCCTTGGCTGGAGGGAGCAGGATTCAAATAAATGCTCTACGGATGCTTCACACCAATTTTTTAAAAGATGGATTTCCTTTTCACATTTATACATAAAAATATTTGTTTGCTGCTTATTGATATATAGAAATAAATCATAGTGGTTTACAACTCTATAAAATCATAAAGGTAAAGGGACAGGGACCCCTAACAGTTAAGTCCATTTGCGAACGACTCTGGGGTTGCGGTGCTCATCTCGCTTTACAGGCCGAGGGAGCTGGCATTTGTCCGCTCCGCAGTCAGTTTTTCTGAGTCATGTGCCCAGCATGACTAAGCCGCAACAGAACACTGACACCAGAGCAGCGCACGGAAACGCCGTTTACCTTTGTGCCAGAGCGGTACCTGTACTTGCACTTTTTGGGGTGCTTTTGAACTGCTAGGTTGGCAGGAGCAGGGACCGAGCAACGGGAGCTCACCCCATTGCAGGGATTCAAACCACCGACCTTCTGATCGGCAAGCCCAAGGCTCAGTGGTTTAGACCACAGCGCCACCCGCATCCCTATCATAAAACCATACAGTAAAATAATAAAAAATCCAAACCATCCTAAAGTCAAAACAATTTAAAACAAACATCTTAAAACCATTATGGGATATCAACCAATCAATCATTTTATTTGCATGCTGCCTTTCCAAAGTTAAAGCTCAAGGCGGCTTACGACATATAAAAAAATTACACAACTACAAAAATAACAAAAGTAGTCATAAACAATAAACAAATGAACAGGAAGTGCACAACCAAACTGAACAACTTCCACATAAACCAGAAGATCCAAAATAAAGATCCAAAAAATTAACAGCAGCAGCAGCAGCAGCAGCAACCCTCTAAACAATACTCCAGCCCAAGATAATCTTAATCACCCGCATAGGCCTGGCAGAATAGAGAGGTTTTCAACAGGCACATTTATGGGAGGAGACCAAGAGTTCTTACACTGCCTCACAGAGAACCTTCCCAAGTTAAGAAAGTGAGAAATCGTGGCTTGCATTAAGCTTGTGAAAGGTGCATTTTAGGGAAGGGGTTCAGAGATGGTAACACAGACTACAAGGCAAGCACACTGAAAATTACTTACCCAACACACATATCCAGCAGACCCTGTTCTAAACCTGAGCAAAAGAATAAACACAGGTAAGAGTTACGTGTGGCTTACATTCAGCACTGTTTATACTTGACAGAGGATGCAAGCCGTACTGCTTTCAGCCAGGGTCAGAGTCACTTGTGAGCTGCTGAGTGCATCAGTAGAGTAGCATGCACTCAGTGCAGAATTTAAATGATGCCACATGCAAGCAACATTTGTAAAGGAGCAACAGGAAACACAAAGTTTTTACCTGGCACCTAAAGATATGTAACGAAGGGGAGAGTTTGTCCCTTTTTTTGGATTACAACCCATTTTTTTTGGAGGCCCCATTGGCAAAAGCGCGCCTTGGGTTACAACCTGTTTTGGTTTACAACAGGACCTCCGGAACGGATTATGGTTGTAAACCAAGGTATCACTGTATTGGAAAAGGTCCAATAGTGGATAACATTCCTGCTCCAGTTCTTGTCCAAATTGCGTGGGAAGTTCGTTAGCCAAATTGGCCTCAGAGCGCGAGTTCCAAAGATGTACCTGGGATGACTTGTCTTTTGCCCAGCTCCACTTGCAGTGGGTCACGGGACAGAGAGCTGTCAATAATGCGGCCATCTTCAAGTGTACCCTGCAAAGAAAGAACGCTATGATCCAGCAATTCAGCTGCTAGATCCGACCAAAGCCCCAGCCAGTCCAGCAGCTAGTCTAGTCTCATGGCAGCTAAACAATTTCCTAAGGGAAGCCCACAAGCAGTTGCTAAACTGCACGGAAAAACAAAACTTGCAGGAAGTGTGGAAACTTGTGGTTCTGAGACAAATGGAGCAACACGGTGTCAGGAAAAAGGCTTGTGGTGATTTCCACCATGACGTCATTTTCCATTATTATTTTTTAAAAGCCAGATTTTTAAAAAGGAGACGCATTCACTTTTCTCACACTGACAGAATCACCTCTTCTATGGTGTTGTGGTGTGTGCATCATCTATCCCAGCAAATAAGAAAATATGCTTCCCTCCCTTCAGAATACTTGTTCGACTTTCAAGGGACACTTTCTACACCAGGGGTAGCCGATTATGTCAGGGGCAGACTTTGGTAATACAGCACCATGAATGAGGACAAAATTTGGCACCCATTCTTATTTTCACAATAATTCCTTTTGGTGCAGTTGCTTTTTAATGGATTTTCTCAGTAGGCTGTTGGCATCTATCTTGAGAGACAATGGAGTGCACCTCCAGGGGTGAAGGCAAACTGCTGCAATAGCAGCACAAAGGTGAGACCCCTGGGGTGCAAGCCTGGGCAGTGTGTATGGAGGTCCTCAGCTGCCCAGATCACAAGACAGGCCTTGCTGATGTGGTCCAAAGTAGAGCAACACATTTGGAACCAGCTTGGCTGCAGGAGTTTCCTAAAGGAGGCAACTATCTTAGGGACTCCACTCCAGATTTGTGTAAGGTTGCCGCCTTAGCCTTTTCTTCTCCAGAAGATGTCCTGCATGGCAGCCAAGGTTGAGGTTGGGTTTCCTTCTCTGAGATGGGCTACCTTCCCAGGTGGATGAGCCCCATCTGCTCCTTAAGTACCTGTATAAATCTGGGTGTTGTTGTTGTTAATTTTATTATTATTTTGTGTCCCCTGGACTGGCTGCCCTGTGCGGGGTAACTGCCTGCACTGCCCTAAATCCCCTCCATATGTTGGGACTCCCAGCTCCGCCAGCCGCTTGCTTGCAGGACCAGCGGTAGAGACTGATGGGAGCCAGAATCCAACGCCATCTGGAGGGCACCCGGCTGCCCCACGCGGGGTCTGCACCAGCCTGCCTGCAACTGCCCTTTGCTAGGAGCCCTTGCGCCCCGCAGAAGCCTCAGCCCGGGCTCCAGGGCTTGTCCCGGTGTCCATGTGCCAGCCGAGCAAAAGCCTATTGGGCCTCGTGACGCGGAAGGCTGCTCCGAAAACACGCGCAGCCTCTTCCACGGCGGCAAAGGGAGGACTGGCACCGGGGCGCACAGCTCGCCTTCCCAAAACCAAACGCACCGACGCGCCCCCCGCTCCCGATCTTTCCTGCCCAGCACCCGCGCCGGGCTGACCCGGAGGGCGGAGCCGCGGGAAGCCCCTCCCCAGGCGGCCGGGAAGCGCCGGTGCTGACGTGTTCGTGCGCGGCTTTCCCCGCGCCCTCCGCCCGGCCTCGGCTTACCGTGTAGTGGATGTGGAGCGTGTCTCCCAGCGCCGAGCGCTCCGCGCAGTCATCGGGGGGCTCCACCTGCGGAGAGAGGGGAGGGCGTCAACGGGGGGCCCGGATCCGAGCCGCACGTGGCTCTCCATCCGTGCAGCAGCGCGCCAACGGGGGGCGGCGGAGGGGCCTCTCCAAAGACTCCGCTGCGCCCCAAAGCGCGCGCCGAGAGTCAGCGGCACCGGCGCTGCTGCTTCGCTCCTCCCGCCCCACCCGCCGCGCAAGGGGCCCGGGCGAGGACCGGGCGCGCCCCCGGGCAGCCGCGGGGCTGCGTCTCTCCCTCCCAGCTCCGCCGGCGGCATCTCGGAGGCGTGCCGGGCACTTCTGGCCGCCGGCCGGGCAGGACACGCAGCTGCGCCCGCGCGCCCTCACCAGGGTTTCCAGCTGCAGCTCCCGGGGCGCGCTTTCGCTCGGGCTCTCGGGCTCGTCCTCCGCCCGCTGCGCGCGGCTGCCGGCTGCGCACAGGAGGACGAGGACGAGGCCGAAGCGGAGAGGTGGCATGGCGAGAGAGAGGGGGCCCACGGAGCCGGAGCAGCGGCGGCCGGGCTTGCACCGCAGGGCAGGGCAGGGTGCCTCCTCCTGGCGCCGCCCCCTGCTGCCCGCTTCCCCGCCCCGGAGGAAGGAAGGAGGGCCGGAGCGAGCGAGCGAGCAAGGGGGCTCTCCGGGCACCGGGAGCGTAGCTGAGGTGCTGCTCTCAGGCCTTCGAGAGACACGGGCGCAGCAACACCGAACGGGGTGCAAGTAATGTAGGAATGTTGCTGGAGAAGAATCGTGGAGTTGCAAGGGATCCCGAGGGTCATCTAGTCCACCCCTTTGCCATGCAGGACCCCCCCCCCATCCAATGTGAAACCATACATGACCCTTCTTAACTTTGCAAATGTGCTAGCAGTTTTATTGCTGCAAAACAGGTGCCTCCTTGTTTGTGCTCTTCTGTTCGCAGGATTCCCACTGGCATCCGGCTGCTGTGGGAAGGGGAAGGTGGGCTAAGCAGGCCTCTTCTCCCCACCCCCATCCTGGGCTCAGGTGAAATCCTGCAGCAGGGAGTTCCGCAGGTCAGCACACTGTTCCCCACAGCACCCACACAATGGCGCCCAGGAAGGTGCCCACCCTCTCTGAAAATACAATAATAATAGTAATTACTATTATTATTTATTTATACCCCGCCCATCTGGCTCTGGATAGCCCTGGGAGGAGGAGCACAGTCTGCATTTGCTCACAGGGCACTTCTTCACAAATTGGAAGACTCGGCTTTGGTGTGGGAGATTAGCAGCCAAAAGCTAATAAAGGCATATTCTTGTCAGCGTGAGAAAGTGCCAACCCCACAGAGCTGTATTGCTGATAGGCAGATGCTCAGACCATAGAAACACAAATGCTAGAAAGAACTCTGTGGGATGTCATTTCCCCTCCTTTCCTGGAGAGGAAGTTACACTGTAAATAAAAGTATTTTGCCTGCATGGCTTTAACTGCTGCCATTGCTGTGAACCAGTGCAACATCATAAAGTACTGGTAAATAAATTATACTTTCCAATTTACTTCCCAATTTGTTGCCTGATTGTTTGTTAAGCCGGTAAGAATAGGAGAGCCAGCTTACTTCAAAGCTGGACTTGCTCAAATCAAGGTTTTGCAGCCTAGGACAGGGGCTGGATCCGGCCCAACTGCCTTCTCAATCCGTACCACGGATGGTCCGGGAATCAGCGTGTTTTTACATGAGAAGAATGTGTCCTTTTACAGTGGTGCCTCGCAAGACGAAATTAATCCGTTCCGCGAGAGTCTTCGTCTAGCGGTTTTTTCGTCTTGCGAAGCAACCCTATTAGCGGCTTAACGGATTAGCGCTATTAGCGGTTTAGCGGCTATTAAAGGCTTAAAGGCTTAGCGGATTAGCTGCTAAAAGGCTATTAAAGGCTATTAAAGGCTTAGCGGATTAGATAAAGGGGGGGGAAAGCGAAAATCTCAAGACTCGCAAGACATTTTCGTCTTGCGAAGCAAGCCCATAGGGAAATTCGTCCTGCGAAGCAACTCAAAACGGAAAACCCTTTCGTCTAGCGGGTTTTCCGTCTTGCGAGGCATCTGCCTTACGGGGCACCACTGTATTTAAAATGCATCTCTGGGTTATTTGTGGGGCATAGGAATTCATCCCCCCCCAAAATAAAATATAGTCCGGCCCCCCACAAGGTCTGAGGGACAGTAGACCGGCCCCCTGCTGAAAAAGTTTGCTGTCCCCTGGCCTAGTCCCTATGCATTTTAATTTTGCTGACTAGGATGATATTTTAAAACACTGTTCAAACCACACACTTGGGCACCTGGAAGGATTAATTGCAATTAATATATCCTCTCTTACCTATAAAAACCCATCCCACATTTGAGAATAAGAGCTAGGGCCTGGTCACACGGACTGCATGACCATGTGGAAGTTCTGTCCGCATGCGCTGCCATCCCTGCCTCACACTATTAGACTAGGCCCACAAATAACCCAGAGATGCATTTCAAATAAAAGGACACATTCTACTCATGTAAAAACATGCTGATTCCCGGACCGTCCGCAGGACGGATTGAGAAGGCGATTGGGCCCCCAGGTCTCCTACTCTCTTAAATTATCTCTCCCTGTTCTTCCAGGGCTGCTGATCCTTGCATGTACTGTTGCATTCACAATACATAAACATGATCCCTGCTCTCTCCCTTTCTGCAAAACCCACCTTTTCCACATTGGTATGGCTTTTCCTCTTAATCCCCACTCATTCCTAATTACCAGCATACTTTAAAAAAGGTGTCAGCATCTGCCTACATTTCCTCTGCCTTTCCTCCCTTTGTTTCTTCACTGTTTTAAACTGTAAGCTCTGTGGGCGCAGGGACCTGTCTATATTGCTTGTCTAGCTCTATGGTGCTTTACACACTGGCAGTGAATAATTATAATGAATAATTATAATGGTTGTGAATATGCACAGATGTGCACTGGTTTGGAGTGGCCAGGTGGAAAGGAGAACATGGGACTTCTGAACTTTTACTAATTATTTCCAAAAGGAAATGTGTACACCTGCAGCTTTGCATATCCTGCAGAACAAGCTCTGCCTGCCCAAAGGCTGTTTGTGCACTGTAATGAAAAGTGTAGAAGCTTGTCCGTTGCACCTAATGATTCAACCTCTAGCCCAGATATGGAGAAGCCTACAAAATGGATATAATGTTTGTTTGCACACTTGCAAATGCATGTGCAGATGTGTACACAAGCTGATGGTGGTACAAGCAATGTGGACACTAGCACACAACTTTGAATACACAGAGACACCTCAACTTGCAGTTAAGATGTGTCTGACTACAGAAAATCTTTAGACCATTACACACTCAGCTACAGGGTTCTTTGACCATATGGAATGGAAAGGACTGGACAATTCTCAGGCATTTGCTTTCACAGGTAGCTTTGCCTATTATTAAAGCTGACGTGGAAAGCAAACATGCCTGCCATTTCCTATCAGCAGAGACTGTCACCTTGAGCGTGCTGCAGGAGCAGTTGCCAAAAAAGATAAGGGGACTTCTCGAAGATGAGGAAAGATCTAGTATTGGTGGTGTTTGGAGGGTCTAAACAAAACAGATGTAATACAGCAATGTGTGTAATTTCACATTTCTAGAAGAAAGCAAAGACAAGTCTGGATTTCAAAGTGAACCCAGACAGTAGAGGAACAGCTGTTGTAACAAACTGTGAATGACTAGGGGGGAAATACGTTGCATTCTTCATCAGCCGCCCTGTATGTTTTCCTAATTTCTAGGTGCCAGGACCAAAGTCTGAAAACTCTTGAGTCACCAGCATCCCAAGATTCATCTGAACATGAACATGGTCACTGCCCCCAATCACAGAGCAAAGTACAGTGGTACCTCTGGTTACAAACTTAATTTGTTCCGGAGGTCCGCCCTTAACCTGAAACCGTTCTTAACCTGAGGTAACACTTTAGCTAATGGGATCTCCCGCTGCCGCCGCACGGCCACCGCGCGATTTCTGTTCTCATCCTGAGGTAAAGTTCTTAACCCGAGGTACTACTTCCGGGTTAGCGGAGTCTGTAACCTGAAGTGTTTGTAACCCGAGGTACCACTGTATAATTTTGTGGAAGAGAAAGCTAAACAGCACAAGGCACTCTTATAAGCCACTGGCATGTAGCTAACGAGAGAGCTTTCATTTTAAAGGGCACATTTGCAACTAACTTGCTACCTATAAATTACCATCAGCTTATGTATTGCATTAACTTGTACAAAACAGATCCTAGTGACTCTTGTTTGCACAAGCTTGTTCAGAACTATATTGATTGAACTGGAGGGACGTCCCATGATTTTGAATCTATTTGGGCAGCTTAAAATGTTTAAGTGTATATTTGAAAATGTACAGAGAGGGGCACGGGAGAAGGAAAATAAATCTGTGTTTGCAAACACATGTGACCTAGGCACATACCTCAGTGCTAGAGTACATTTTGCATTCAGAAGATCCCAAGTTCACTCCTTGACATCTCGAGGTAGGAATGGAAGAGATCCTGTCTGAAATCCTGGACTGCTGCTGTCACTCATTGTTGGCAGTATGGAGCTAGATGAAATCAGTCTCGGTCAGTTTTATTGCACATAGCCAAAGGCTGCCGCAATGTACACAGAATTATTTGACAATTAAAAGAAAATATACTGAATTGGTAAAAAAAGACTTAAAACATTTGTATTATTAAAACATTACGTACTCTAAACAAAGCTATAAAAGTACCCCAATGTACAAATAAAAACATTAAACAATAAAATTCATAAGCTAAAATCATCACATGGTCACTAATGTTAAAAACAGTATCAATTAATACAGTGTGCAACTATATATTCAGAGTTTGGTGACAAAGATAGAGCATAGCCTGAGGTAGATAGATGGGATCAAATAAATTCATCTCCTTTACAGTTAATGGCTACCTTGGCTATATAATTTGCTCTAATTTTCCTAGCAGCAGTTGCAAAAAGTGCTACCCGCCAGGTCATATACTTATCTGTGTCTGCAAGGAGATATAACATCATGTCAAGGGGGTTCTGGTCAGGGGACCCTGTCATTATAGGTACCAAAAATCTTTTTCTTGCATCATTATATAACGGACAGTGCAAGATATAATGCATAAGGTCCTCTACTTCAGAACATCCCCTAATGCAAACACGTTCGTTTTTTTGGTATGCCTCTGTGTCTCCCATCTCTATAAGCAGAGCTTATTGTATTTAGTCGTAGCTCTGTAAAAGCTTTTCGAAGCTGTGCAAAAGTCAATTCATTAAAATAAGATATGTGTTCATTGACCTCTCTAAGTTTAAAATACAATGGGGCACATGTAGATGTGCACATAGAGTTTAGATCGTTTTTAGTTGCCACTGCCCTTATGGTTCATTTAAAAATATTTTTCTGTGAATATAAGGGGAGTTCTTTAATCTCAGTCACTGAGAGGTCATATTTGCCCATCAGTTGGGCAGCATGATGTACCCAGTTTTTAAAGGGTAATTCATTTGAGAGCTCAATCAGGCATTTTTTTGGTAGCCTAGTGTTGTCCATCTGTTGAACTCTAAACCAGTAACAGAGAATTCTTTTATCTATTTGGCTCTCTATGCTCAACATGCGAGTTTCCAACCTGACCATGGCAGATTGCACGTCCTTGGGTAAACCTAAAAGAACTCTTAAAAAATAATTCTGTGGGGGTTCCAGACCGGAGACCTTTGAGGTACCCCAAACCTCTGCACCATAGCTAGATGAAATAATTATCTGTGCATTCATGATAATAATATTATGATGGTTATACATGATCCCACTTTCAATACAGTCTGTGCCTGGGGAAGTTTTGGGGCAGACATACTCCTTTGCCTCTCATTGGTGCACGTCCTATAGCTTCCTGCTGAAATCCTGTAACCTTTTTAATAGCACAAATGTCCAGAGATCATTTTTATTTCTTGGGATCTACTTTTGTTGTGCAAGAGTGCCCCTTTGTATCACATTAATGCAGTGGCAATGGGGAAGCTTTGCAGAGCAACTAATAACACAGAACAATGTGTGGACATTCTAGTGTATATCCACCATTAATACGTTATTATTGTGTCAATGACATGTTGCAGGAAAACACACCCACACACCAGTTTGGATGTGCCTTTAAAATTTCAGTACACAGTTGAAGGGGTGCCTGGCGTGCTCTGGTCCATGGGGTCACGAAGAGGCGGACACGACTAAACGACTAAACAACAAAGCAAAATAGTGGCAGTTCAGAGGCATTCTTATAAATTACAAAATTCTTATAAATTCTTATAAATTACAAAATGCAGATTTTGCAAAGGTGCAGTACATTGCTGTCACCACTGTGTGGCAGCAAAACATCACAAATCCTCTTTCCACAACCCCCCCCACCCCCCCACCCCCGGTGCTTAAATAAGCACCCTGAGGTTATTCAATCTAAAGGCCTAAGTGACGTCCCTTCCCTCTAGCCATCCCGGTCCCTGACAAGACAGGTCTGTCTTCCCACTGGAATGCATCCAGCATGAATCACAAGGAACAAGCTCACTGTGCTTTATTGACTTCATCTGGCTGCATTTGAAGGGCAATCAGCAGCCCTAGAGCATTTTTGCCCCTTGGGAAGAACTCCTTATGAACTATCAAAGGTAGCAGTCTACCAGGTGTGCAATGCACATATGCCCAAATTCGAGTAGTTGTGTCAGGTGGACTTACCTGTGTTGTAACCCATCCTTTTACAAAACACCCAGGCCTGTTGGCTTCCCGGCATTGTCAAAGCCATACTCCCCACGCCAGTCTAGAGATACACAGATGGGCGAGGATAACTGGCATTCAGGCATCCCCACAAATCCACCCCTCCCCCACCAGGGATCCCAGGATCCTTACTTAAAACCTACTGCTCTTCCAGTCATGCCTGGGGATGAAAAGAAGGAAGGAAGGAAGGAAGGAAGGAAGGAAGGAAGGAAGGAAGGAAGGAAGGGAAAAGAGAGAACAGCTCGGCTTGCTCTTGGACTCTTTCAACTTGATATGCAGAAGCCCAGCAAGGAAGCTTCCCAGAGCATGTGGAGACAGTGATCTGTGCATATCAAGCTGCTCTGAGCAGCACAGCTTTGGTGGCCAGCTAAAACGTTGGCAGCCTGCGCCATCCGAATACTGTGGACCCACACCCCTGCCAGCTAACTTGCCCCGCCCTCAGAGACCACGGCTTTGCGGCATCTGGATGGCGCTGCAGACCACTTGGCTAAGCAGGCCCAGACTGGGAATGGTGCTTAAGAGCGCTCTGGAACGGTGCCTCCAGAAGGCCGGCTGGGTGCCCCCGGTGACGGGATAGGCATGCCAGCTATTTCCCCTGCTGTGTTGCTGCCCCCATTGTCATTCCAGGGCTCTGGCTGCCCCCCTCCATATTGACATACCAGCCCTCGTTGCTGTGATGAGCCGAAGACGGGCTGGCGGCATTTAATGGGATTATGGGCGCTTCCCCCTCCTCTGCCCAGAGACAATGCAAGATGGATGAGCCCAGAACTGGTGAGAAACCAGAGGCAGGCTCCAGCTCAGGCTGGGGGTAGGTGGGGGGGGGGAGAAAAGGCACTCTGTCTCTCCCCATCAATGTTGTCAGCTTGCTCCCCTTCCCCTCCACGATGCCGAGGAGCAATGGCTTCTCCACCGGTGCAGCAGGATTGGGCGCTGAGACTGGCAAGCTCTGTAGCCGCAGTGACAGGCAGCCCCAAGTGCATCACGGGCTCCTCTGCTCTCGTCCATTATCACCATTCAGTCCTACTCCTGAGACTTCAGGATAGCGCCAGCCTGTTCGGAGCTGTACACAGAATGGGAATGACCAAGGCTGCGCCAGTGTGGTCTCCAGGTATTGGATGGCGCTTGTGCAAGATGAGCCCTCCATCCATCCGTTTCCCTTCTTCCTCCAAGCCCACTTGCACCTCCACCTAGAGGGGGAGCGCAAGGCAAATGGAGAAGGATGCTGCTGTTCTGTTGCTCCTTCTCACTTGTCATAGCTCCCATGTTCAGAGGGGCAGGTGATAGCAAGGCGAAGGGCTTGGAGCTTCCAGGGGTTGGCAGCAGGCCCACTGGGTGGGGTGTGGGCCTCCTGCCAGTGCCCAGTAATCCGGGCCAGTCCAATACATTTTGCCGCCCGAGACAAAGCAGGGCATGACACCCTGCTCTGTCATTCCTTGCCCAGAAGCTGGCAAGACTGGCAGCTGAATCCCACCTCAGCACTGGCTGCCACCACTGCACCTGCAGGACTAGGTGAGGGAGCACAGGGCAGGCCACATGGCACACATAACTCTGCCCTCCCACACCAAACTACCACTACCTACTGCCCAGCACTTGTTGCCTGAGGTTGCTTTGCTCTGCCCTAACAGTAGGGCTGGTTCTGCCAGGGACGCTAACCTCCGATTCCAACCCTGGATTGCTTTCTTCTTCTGCAGCAGTTAGACTATAATAAAATACTGAGTAGCAACCAGCAGGGAGCATGACGTAAGAGAACCCGAAAAGAGAAGCATGATTAAAATGTCAGCTTTTGGTGGCAGTTTTCTTTCACATGAAAAATGGAAGCAATTACCTTTTCGTGACTGGATTAAAACGGGGTAGTAGAGTTACAGCAGATCAGGTGAAATTGTTTCCTTAGCAAATCTGGCTCACGGCCTGTCAGATAGCGAACTGTGGAACATAAAGAAAGAACACGGCTTTCCCAGGTTTCACACTCCACAGGATACGCCGGAGAGAGAAGCCTCCCTTCAGATGTCCTGAAATGGGCTATGAGGCTACCCCCCGCCATGTCTCCTGGTTCTGCCCTCTGACATCCACAGCTGGAGGGGGGGCATCTGAGAACAGGGCGCCTATGCATGTAGCTGGTGCTCTGCAGGTATAGGCAGCCAGTGGCATGTGTAGATTCTCTGGCTCTGGGTGCCCAAGCTCCATGTAGGGGAAGGCAAGGCAACAGTGTGACTTCAGGGGGTAGGCATACTAATTACATGAAGCCGCTTCATGCCAACATGCCAGCGTGGAGCCTGGAGGTGCCAGTGTGCCTGCCAGTACCTCATGCAAAACAATATACCCCCTCAAAAATCCACCACACACAAGAGGCTACTTGTTCTTCCTGCTCTTTGGCTGGCTTGGCCTCTCCTACATCGAACTACAGACCCTTAAGCATGCTTACATTACACTGGACACCCACCCACCCTCTGAACGAAGAAGAGCAAAGGGCTTCTTTATGGGAGGGGGACATGGCAGTGTCTGACGCAGGTGCTTTCTCTCCATTGATGGGGCAATCGCCAAGGCTGGCACAATTCTGTGGGCCCGTCTCTTTTTCTGCTCTTTTAGGTGTGGCAGCCATTTTGTGTTATGCCCGGCCAGCCATCCGAATGGCAGCCATTTTGTGGCTTGCGCCCAGAGCACTCAAGATTCCTGATGCCAGTGGCCCCTCACCCAAGGGCTGCAGATCCTACATAATGGCTATCAGAGGCTCTCCAAGGTTTCAGCCCCACCTAGAGATGCCAGAGGCTGAGGTATTTTGCATGAAAAATAAGTGTTCGGCCACCGAGTTGTACAGTCCGTCCCAAATGCACAATTTTGTACTCTTATCTGGGGGGGAAATGCACGTTCTTATTTCATTTGCTTAGACTTTCAAAACCACCCAGTGACTGATCCCTAAACTTTCCCAGCAGGAGGCAGCACACATAGAAATATTTTATCACTGGCCGGGGACGCACAGTCTAAATAGCAGGACTCCATTTAGATGCCAAGCAAGTGTGACTCTATTCCCACTTCTCTTTGTAACATATGTGTTGGCTGGTGCAACTGTAGGCTTGATTCTCCATGACAGAAAAGTTTACACCTGCTCTGGATCATGGCCATCGCACTCCTTCATGGCTTTCTCTTCATCCAAGTTGCTTCTTGCCTACTCTCCCCTGGGCAAACTGAAGCACCACCCGAGTAACAGACGTGATGCAGGAGACAATGTTGGCATAAGGATCCACAAAGGGGGAGGAGGGAAGTCAAAGGGGATTCATTGATTATAGTTTAATTGTTCTCTTTGTTGGTGTTTGTAAACTCGAAAATCCAAAAATAAACTAATATAATTTTTGGGGAAAGTGGAGTATCAAGGTGTGACTAGCCGGCAGGCAACCTGAACTCCACACTGCAACTTTCCCCCAGGTCCCAGTCACTATGTCCTCCTCTCTTCCGTGGAACTCAAAATGGCATTCACACCAGACTCAGAACAACTTAACCTCAGCAGTTTGCTGCATGCACCATATGCCTTCAGCCTACGCCCAGTTGACTGGAAAACACCCATGTGGCATATATAACGCTCCTGCTTCATATGCATTTTCACACGTTTGAACTTAAAGATTCTTCAGTCACACAATATATTGCCAAGATTGGGCATCATACTCACTTGTGTTTTGCAAATGCCTCTTCGCTGTACAAGTGACAGGCATGAGGGAAAGGCAGATAGATGACTTCAGATCACACTGCTCAATGCCATGCAATTGCTTCCAGAGCTATACCCAACCTAGTCCTCAGAAACCTAGCCTTTGTGCACAAGGGCAAAAGTTCAAGGCCCTGGGGGTGATTGAAACTTAATACGATGACTGTACTGTGTGCTAAAGGATGAGAGACAAAGGTTTGGGAGGAGTTGACTGGCCATCATGAGAGACTTCTTGGTTCCTTAGTGTTCCCCCTGCTCCCTCCTCTGTGGGCTTCATTCCATATATACTGCTCACAAGGCAGGCTGTCTCTCAGCCATAGTTCCCTGCCTGGTCTCCCTCAGTGAGAAGATGGAAGTAACAGCAAAACATTTCCCCTGAAGTCAGTTTGCCGCACTACAGAGCTTCCACTATAAAGGAAAGGAACAGAGATATATATGTCACTTCTGGTCTCATTCACACCTGGCTGGGATGGCACATGACCAGAGAGCGCAGTCTCATCCACAGTAAGCACAGTGGTAGAGCACATGCTTGCAACATTCAGAAGACCACAGGTCCCTGGGATCTCAGTTTAAGAGGATCTTTGTGGGGGGAGCAGGCAATGTGAGAAGACCTCTCTGGGCCCGAGACCCTGAAAAGCCGCTGCCACTCAGAATAAACCAGGGATGAGGAACCTGTGGCCCTCCAGAATTTGCTGAACCACAACTCTCCTCATCTCTGCAGTTAGCTATGCTGGGTGGGACTGATGGGAGTTTGAAGTCAACATATTCGGGACTAATGGGAAAGATGGCAAGAGAGCTGCCATATACCAGGCCAGGCTTTCTGCAAAAGGGCTCGAGGTAAAAAGCTGGTAATAACATAGCACTGGAACTCGTGCGCATCTAATGCAACTGAACGTTGAAGGTTCAGGACAGATAAAAAGAAGGAAGGCGCTTCTTCAAGCAGTACTCAGTTCAGCTATGGCACTTGGTCCCCCAGGAGGCAGTGATGGCCCGCAAACTAGATGGCTTTAAGAGAGGGAGAGACAAATTCATGGAGGAGGAGAGGGCTACTGAGGGCTACTAGTCACGACAACTGTGCCCAGAGTCCACAGTTAGAGGCAGATGTTTCTGGACGTCAGCTGCCAGAGAGGCTCTTGAGATCGGATCCTGTTTGCAGGTTTTCCACAGGCATCTGTTGGACTAGATGGGCCACTGGTCTGATCCAGCAGGCTTTTCTTACCTTCTTATGGAACTCAAGAGATTTTGCATTGTTTCCTTTGCTTTCAGTGTGTTATGTATTGGGTTTAACACATTTTATGTTACAAGCCGCATTCTAACCAATCGTAGAAGCGTTGGTAGACGAACGTTCTAATGGCAAGTAAGCGCATGCACTTTCAACTGCCAACTGTCAACAGTCAGTTCATGCTTGGCATTATTATCGTGTTGTCCAGTCAGTTTGGTTCTTGTGTTCCTATGAGTGAGCTGTTGTCACTGACAAATGTCACTGACAAATGACGAATAAACTTAGTTGAGGAACTTATACTGCCTTGGCTTCTGACTTTTTCCGAATATGGCGATGAGGATGGGATGTTGATGGCTTCCCACCGGCTGCCAGAGGCCTAAGACCACACCGCAGCACCGTTGCCTGCCGCCTCGCAGTAAGCGCGACCTCACTGCCACGCAAATAGTCCCGGAAACGAGATCGCACCTGCCGCGTCTTCACAACCACCCACAATTGCACAAGCGACTGCTCCAGATCCGAGGATGGCTACCAGGCATAGTCGGCCGCCACTGGACTTCGATATGAGCCATCCTGCAGAATGGCCGCAGTGGCTCTGCCGAATAAGGAGCTATGTCCGACTACAAGGCTTCACTAGGGAGGCAGACAAGGTGGATGTGCTACTGATGGTGCTGGGAAGTTCCGCCATCACTCTACTGGAAGGTCTGATGCCACCCAGGGACATAGAGGCATGAACTTTCGATGAGCTGACACAGGCTATGACAAGACACCTCGCACCTCAGCCAACTAAGAACCACCGCTGCTACGACTTTGCGCACAGAGAGCAACAAGCGCAAGAGTCAGCGAGTGAATACATCGCAGCGCTCCGGGGATTGTGATGTACTGTCATTTCGCTGACATCAAGGAACGACTTCTAGAAAGGTTCACCGGTGCATGCGAGACAGCCATCTCTGCCGCAAGCTGCTGGCAATCACGATGATGGAAGCAATGAATATGGCCACGGCCTTTGAGAAGGATAACACCCACGAGGCGGCCCACTGCCCATGTACCAAAAGGAGAACTCACCGCATCCAGCGAGACCGGTCGTCTTCCATAGATTCCCACAATGAGGATGTCCACCGAGCTTCGGACCGATCCGACCGACACCACCGCTTCCAAGCTACGAGCGCATCATCGAACCAACGGTCATCTGACGCACCTCAAGGAACCTGCGCCAGCTGTGGAGAAAACCACGAGCATCAGACATGCAGGTTTCGTGACGCCACATGTTGCCGCTGTGGGAAGACTGGGCACATTGGTCAAGTCTGCCGCTACAAGACCTCCGGAGCACGACCCAAGCAATGTGTCCACAAGGCCTACATAGAGGAGGAGTTACAGTCCACCTCTCCAGCCAGGGTACTTCAACTTCCGTCCCCGGGGTCCAATAAGCTTAGGGTACAACTCAAGATAGAGGGAACCCCGTGGACTATGGAGTTGGATACTGGCTCATCCTACCCCATAATATCTGCTAAGACTCTGAAAGAGTTTGCCCTAACGGTGGTCCTCCTCTCCGCCTGGCCCCCATAGTGCTGTGGGACTTCCAGAGAAAAAGAATCCAGCTAAAGGGGATGGGCACCTTCAAGGTATAGTTTAAGAAATACACAAAGAATTTGAACCTCATCATAACTGAAGACCCATTCACTAGCCTTCTAGGCCTAGCATGGTTCAGGCCGTTAGGCTTAGGTATTCCCCAGGGGCAGATTTCGAATCGATCTACCAGGAGCATCCATCAGTCTTCGATGGAACCCTGGGCCTGTACAACAGACCCCCGATTTCCCTACGGCTCAACCCTATGCTACAACATATTCAGGTCAAGGGCCGTAGAGTCCCGTTTGCTCTTAAACCCAAGATTGATGAGGAGCTTGATCGCTTAGTCGCCCAAGGGGTCCTAGAACCGGTAGCTTCGGGAACCTGGGAAACCCCAATCGTCACACCGGTTAAACTGGACAGCTCAGTCCGTATCTGTGGCGATTACAAATGCACCCTGAACCAGGCCTTGCAGGATCATGCGTAGCCGGTTCCGGTGGCGAGCCACGTGTTAGGCAACCCTGACTGGAGCCAAGATCTTCGGGAAGCTGGATTTAGTGCAAGCTTATCAACAGCTAACCGTTGACAAGGCCACCGCAGACGCCCAGACAATCGTGACTCATAGGGGTGCCTTCAGGGTCAAACGCCTACAGTTTGGAGTTAGCGTGGACGCAACCCCAGAGTTGGTCACCACTGGACCTAATGGTCAGGGGTCCCTTTACCTTTACTTTACCAGGGTTATTTCATGGCCTAATGGACCGTCTCCTTAAAGGCATCCCTGGAGTCACACCATTTTTCAACGATGTGCTGATCACTGCATTGTCGAGAGAGGACTTTGCCGCCAGATTACGGATAGTGCTCCAATGCTTCCAGGCGGCAGGACTTAAGGCAAAACAGAAAAGGTGCCTGTAGGGAGTGAGCAGTGTGGATTTCTTGGGGTTCCGGGTTGACACAGACGGCCTCCATCCAGCAGAGGACAAAGTGCGCGCCATTTGCGACGCCCCAGACCAAAAGAGCAAGGCAGAGTTACAAGCCTTCTTAGGACTTCTTAATTTTTACCACGCGTTCCTGCTGCACAAGGCAGCCATAGCTGAGCCTTTGCACAGGCTCTTGGACAAAAAAGTGCCGTGGGTCTGGGGCCCTCGACAGGCCAAGGCGTTCCGAGGGGTCAAAGACTTGCTTGTGTCCAACTCAGTGTTAGCACACTTCGATGAAAAGCTTTCGGTGGTACTGGCTTGTGACGCTTCCCCTTATGGAGTGGGCGCAGTACTGCACCACCAGCTTCCGGACAGGAGGGAAGTCCCAGTGGCTTACTTCTCCCAAACTCTCATGTCGGTGGAGCACAACTACTCCCAGATCGACAAGGAGGGTTTGGCAATAGTTAAGAGAGTCAAAAAGTTTCATGACTTTCTTTATGGTCGGCCTTTCACTATTGTCACCGACCACAAGCCACTCCTGGGACTATTTGCGCCCGACCGCAAGACACCCCAGATGCTTTCACCACGAGTATTGCGCTGGTCCGTTTTCCTGACCGGTTACCAATACTCACTACAGCACCAACCTGGGAAAGTCATGGGTCACGCAGATGCACTCAGCCGCTTGCCGTTGTCGGAGAACGGCCCTGACCTTGCTCCTGCCCACCAGATCCTGCGGCTGGAAGACTTACTGGACCAGCCCTTGCATGTGAAGGACATTGCTGCTGCAACCGCGAAGGATAGGCTGTTGTCCCGCGTCTCGGACTGGGTGGCGAGGGGGTGGCCCGGGAAGCCGGGTCCAGAATATTCATGCTACACAGCCCGCAAAGACGAGCTGTCTCCTCACCGAGGATGTGTGTTATGGGATAGCAGTGTCATAGTCCACGCCCCCCCCCCCCCGTTAAGGAAAAAAGTTTTAGAAGGGCTGCATGTGTCTCACCTGAGGGTCGTCCGGATGAAGGCATTAACCCGTAGCTATGTGTGGTGGCCAGGCATAGATGCGGAGAGGGCTGGGTGAAACATTGCGAGCCCTGCCAGGTCTCCCAGCCGGATCCACCCAAGGCACCAGTACAGTCCTGGAAGTCCACACAATCCCCATGGCCTTGGGTGCACGTGGATTTCACGGGGCCTTTTCAGAGCCAACACTTCCTAATAGTGGTCGATTCTCAGTCCAAGTGGCTCGAGGTGGTGCCGATCTCAACTGTGTCCGCTAGAGTGACTATAAACACGCTCAGGAAGCTATTTGTGATACGTGGCTTGCCAGACACACTGGTGAGTGATAATGGGACCATTTTTACATCGGCGGAATTCAAAGAATTTGTAACCGAGAATGGAATCCGCCACATTCGTTCCGCTCTTTTTCACCCAGCCACTAACGGCCAAGCTGAACGCATGGTCCATACTACCAAAGATGCGCTTAGGCGCATAGTGCATGGAGACTGGACTCTCTGGTTAGCGGAGTTCTTATTGGCCCAACACATCACCCCAAGCGCAGTGACTGGCTGGATCCCGGCGGAGTTGCTTATGGGGAGGAGACTCATTACCCTCCTTGATCGTAAGAACCCCGACTTGGCTCTTGATCAACTGCCATCCACTGTGGTGCAGCGGCTCCAAGAGGGTTCTCTCCCGGGGACACTGTGTACGTCCGAAACTATGGGCCCGGACAGGGTTGGGTCCCTGGTATCATTGCCCACTGTACAGGTCTGGTTTCCTATGAGGTAGGGTTGGAGGGGGACTGGTTTGGAAGAGACACCTTAACCAGATCAGAGCCAGGCACCTCCGAACATGGAACTTCAAGCGGATCCAGAAGACAGAGAAATGGGTACTTCGGGAGATTCTGTGCTCAGGCCAGGGTGGGAACCAGATGGGTTGCCGGTGACTGAGTTACCCCAGCAGGGCAACCTCAGGCCAGAATCCTCAGTGGCTCCATCAGCAGTGACCCCTTCGGAGCCGGCCTCGCTGACTGCCCCACTCACAGTGGGTACCGGAGGAACCTTGGCACAGGAACTGCGACGATCCCAGCGGGAGAGGAAAAGGCCGGCACACCTTGATGACTATGTTTGTTCCTTTTGTTAGGAAGTTGGGGGGAGGAGTGTTATGTATTGGGTTTAACACATTTTATGTTACAAGGCACGTTCTAACCAATCGTAGATGCGTTGGTAGATGAACATTCTAATGGCAAGTAAGCGCATGCTCTTTCAACTGCCAACTGTCAACGGTCAGTTCATGCTTGGCATTATTACCGTGTTGTCCAGTCAGTTTGGATCTTGTGTTCCTATGAGTGAGCTGTTGTCACTGACAAATGTCACTGACAAATGTTGAATAAACTTAGTTGAGGAACTTATACTGCCTTGGGCTTTTGACATTTTCCAAACATTTAACACAATGCAATTTCTGTTGGAAAGTTGGGCCTGGAGACTCAGGGGTCTACAGACTGCTTTTTTCTTTTCTTTTCTTAACTCATCAGGGCCATCTCTCTTTACAGCCACTCTGTATTATTCTCATCACATCTATTAAAGATTTGAGGTAAGGCACTTATGTAGAACAAGAGGGTCTGGGTAGGATTTTTAGACCCTGCTATGCGCTTTATCTCTTTCAGAGGAGGAAGCGGAACGGAGCCCAATCTGATGTCGTCAGGGTGGGCAATCTTCCCCCACCTTTTCTTGGATTAGCAACTAATGGGATTTAGCTGCTCATCCAATATCCCCCTTCAATACAGGAGCGGAGGGGGCTAAATGCCACTCCGGATTAAAAAATACACCCCTTCCTCCATAGAAAAGTGCAGCTCAGTTAAGCTGTTTCTAATTAAAGCCAGCCCCTACATGTCCATCACCCCTCCCAGAGCAAGCCATGGCGACCCCAGCCCAAAAGGAGGAGCTTGTCAATTTCATACGTTTCATCAGCCAGCGTGGAGACTGTTCAGGGGGTCAGAGATGGAAGACACACTTCTTTTTCAGGCAATAAGTAGAAACACCACCCCTCTCCTGCTCTGTGCTCACAGGCAGTTAAAAATGAACTAACCACCATTTGCAAAACCAATTTAGACCAAGTTAGAGCCTTGGGTCCATCTATCCAGTTTTGTCTACAATGACTGGCAGGGCATCTCCAGGACTTCAGACAGAGATGTCTCCCAACCCAACTGGAGACGAGGGGGATGGAATCCGGGACTTTGCATGCAAAGCAGATGCTCAAATCATGGAGCCAAGGCTGTTCCTCACACCGTCAACCCCCCCCATCTGTCCTGAGAAGAGGGAACAGGTGTATAGACGCCATTCCAAAGGGCAAACACCTTTTACTTGTGCGTTTTTCGCTTCTCCTTAATTAAATAATTATTTTTTTTAAGCATTCTTCAATCACAGAAAAAGATGTCCACTGTATCTCCTACATGATAGAATCATAAAACCATCATAAAACCATCCAACCCCCTGCAACTAGGCCATCCAAACTCTGCTTAAAAACCTCTGATGGAGTTTGTCACCTCTGGTGGGAGTCTGCTCCCCTGTAAAACAGCTCTTTCTAAAAGAAAGTTCTTCCTGGTGTTTAGTCAGGACCTCCTTTCTTGTAACTTGAAGCCGTTATTTGTTTCCTACCCTCCAGAGCAGGAGAAAACAAGCTTGCTCCATCCACCACGTAACAGCCTTTAAGGTAGTTGAAGATGGCTATCATATCTCCTCTCAGTTCCCTCTTTACCAGGCTAAACATACCCTGCTCTCTCCACCATTCCTCACAAGGCATGGTTTCTATCTTGGTTGCCCTCCTCTGCACACCTTCCAGCTTGTCAATGTCCTTCTTAAATTGTGGTGCCCAGTGTGGTGTCTGACCAAGGCAAAATACAGCAGGACATGAATCACTGCTCTGGCATGCCTCTGAGAGGAGCTATAGCTCAGTGGCAGAGGATGTATTTCTGGTTCAATCCCACCTAGCATCTCTGGGTAGGGATGGGAAAGACCCCTCCCTGCCTGAAAGTAGGCGCAGCAATGGAAGAGGCAGCTTCCTCTTCCTAGAATATCTTGGGGTGGGGAGTGGAGATGACATCCACAATAAACCATCCTTGCTCCTCTGTGTTATTGACAGGCAGGGTACAAATGTATTAAAGAGCTAGTTGCTGGCATCCGTCTGCTTCAAGAAACAATTGACTGCGTCTCCGGGAGTGAAGCCAAACCACTGAATTAGCAGCACCATAGTGACCTCTCTGGGGTGTAAATCCGGCCAGTGTGTATGGAGGTCCTGGGCTGCCCAGACAAGACCCCTCTCTCGGACTCACTGATGTGGTCCAAAAGAAAGCAGAGCAACATGGTTGGCACCAGCTTGGCTGCAAGAGCTGCTGGAAGGAGGCGTACAAGGAACCATCCCACTGTTTTGGGGACTCCACTCTGGATTTGTGTAGGGTTTACTTTTTTGTCTTTTCTTCACTTGAAAATATCACACAAGGCAGAGGAGGTTTAGGATAAGAGTTTTCCTTCTCCAGATGGGCTATCTTTCCAGGCTGATGAGCCCCATCTGCCCCTAGCTTCCCTTTACAGCACATGCAGAAACCGCCTTCTTGACCACTGGACCCACTTTTGGTCTCATCCGCTCCATCCACTGCAGCCTGCCTTCACATGCAGGGGAAGTTTCTAACTCACAGAGGGTTTGAGACCCAACAGCTACCTCTCACCTGGTTTAGCTGGACAGTCAAAGTCATTCCCAGGGTTAGGCCACTGTCGCACGCCAAAAGCTCCTAAATGTACCTAATCCTCTTTGCACTTTGTGCGTGTGAAAACAGTCATCAAGAAAGGCAAGCTCATATTGAGAAAGCTGCAGAACATATAAATCACATGCCCCAAACCCACAAACACCAGACTAGAGCCAGCAGCTACATAAAACAAGTTTAATATCCAATGGGAGTGCACAGAGGTCGTGGTGCATCCAACTGTTCAGAGAGGGGGCGAGAAAATCACATATAGGGAGCCATGGCCCAGAGAATGAACAAATCAGAAGGGGGTGGGGAGAGGAGGAAACCACTTTACACCAAGCAAAGGGGGCTGAAGCTGGGTAGGGAGAAGAGAAAAAGAGGAATAAATACATATTTGCCAGGATGGGGGAAGGGAACACACAGTACCAACACTGTCCAGAGGCAGGGAGTGACCAGAAAGTTGCATGCAGTGACCTGGGTTTAACCCTAATACAATCATTATCCCCTAAAATTAAAAAGGGGGGGGGGAAATACAACTCTTCCAACTTCCCCCATCATGGAAAAGGAATCTTGCAACAGAAGGAGTGTTTCGGAGGAAGGATGGAATGTTCTGTCCAACTGGGAGACATCCATGGAGTAAGCAGCAACATTACTAAAGAGCCAACCTTTTGAAGCTGCCAAGGGCCGGGGCAGGAGGCACCCTTGCACATGCACATGCTCCCCTTGGCTGGAAAGAGCAGGCCAAACCAGGAAAAAATGTGCAGTTAGCATCTGCATGGGCAGCTTTACGATAGCATTGGTCCCAAATTTACTGCGGCAGCCTGCACCAATCACCATCAAGCCCTGGTCTGTTTTCCGGGAAGGGAGCAAAACAGTAAGGAATTGATGGGGCTCAGGAGAGGTGTATTATCAAGGGCTCCAGTGCCATTTGGTCTAAGAAGTTGGAGTGCAAATGATTCAAGTCCATCAGCAGCATTAAAAAAAACCTAACCGTCCCGGGCCACTCATGAGGATGCTGTTAACAGGGCGACGGATTCGGGGAAGGAAGAGCAAGGAGGGCGTTCAGTATTGCTGCAATCTCAATTGTTGCCAGCAGGGGTCACTGCCCAACAAAAAAAATATATACAGGGACAGAAAGAATACAATTGGGGGGTGGGGGACAGAATGAAGTAGTAGCACTGCTCTCCCTCCAGAACATTGCCCCAATCTGGGAAGAGAAGGAGAAAGGAGAAAGGGGCCTTTGATCACCTGCAGACCCATTTCCTAGAATGCCCCCTCCTTGCACTAATTGGTCTCTGTTCCCTTCCCCCCCCCCCGCACATATTGCAGATATATATATATATACACACACACACATCCTTTTTAAGTCCCCGGCTTCACCACCTAGGTCCCTTCGCTGCAACCCAAAGCGCAGCACACAAAAGCAAGAAAGCAGCAGCTGCCACTGAGTATTGGTCACCTCCGGTCAAAAAAAGAGAGAGAGAGAGAAAGAGAGAGAACCAAGCTTCACAGACCACCAAGAAAATACAAAACTGACCAACAAAATAGAAAGGGAAACGAAAGAGAGAGAGAAAAAGAAAGGCCACAGAATCGGCACCCGAACCCCCCACTTGCCCCAACCCTCCCACCACACCCATATATTTTATTATCTCTATATATATATTTATCACACACACACACGCGCACACACAGAGACCGTGCAAAAAATCCTGGCAGAGCCAGAATATGAGAAAAAGAGAGAGAGAGAGAGAAACCAAAAGTTCACCCCAACCCCCCCTACCCACCCCAACCCCCACAGCAACCGGTGCCGGCAAGGAAAAGCAAACCCAATAGGGGAAAGGAAGTTGGGGAAGGGGAGAAGGGGGTTGGGGAAGGGGGGAATCAACCCATAATGGAACCAACAAGTGAGGGGGCTTAGCCCCACCACCACCCCTGCACTCATTTCTTGTTCTTCAGCTGGTTGGCCAGCCAATCCAAGCCCTCGTAGAGGCCGTCTCCGCTGGTGGCACAAGTGGCCTGGATGTACCAATTGCGATGGCGCAGCGAATGCAGTCCCAGCTTGTCCGTGATTTCTGCCGCGTTCATGGCGTTGGGGAGGTCCTGGATGGAGAAGAGGAGGCAGAAAAAGACCAGAGAGTTCAACTACCCAAGAAGAAAGGTGGGGAGAGGAGAAAGAGGAAGCCAGCCTCAAAGAGGCATCCTCAAAAATCAATTTAGGACCCAATGTGGGTTTGAGTCAGTGGCAACTGACCCAGTGGCGCTGAGGTGGCGTGAGCATTTCCAGATATTACAGCCCTGGTAAGTAGTGTTCATTTTTGCTAGAGGCACCATCTAGCTGCCCCTTCCTTCCTTCCTTCCTTCCTTCCTTTTTCAAGCCTCCTAAGATCGCTGCTAGCTCTTCCCACAGTAGCCAGACTCCATACAGGAAGAGCTTAAAATGCCTGCCTGGCGATGAAGCCCTCCCCACCCACCCACTTTTCAGAGTTCACCAAGTGTTGCCCACAGGTTCTGACTGCTCTGCACTAACAAGTATGTACGTAAGTTAGTAAACTGGCTACCAAGGTAGTCAAAATTGAAACAGATGCCACCCCTGCCTGCTCCTGTAAAAAACCTCTGCTGCCATCTGCCAACGGCCTCCTCCACATGAGGCAGGTTGGTGACCAGTGGGAATATCTTACTACAGTGGTGCCTCGCAAGACGAATGCCTCGCAAGACGAAAAACGCGCAAGACGAAAGAGTTTTCCGTTTTTTGAGTCGTTCCGCAAGACGAATTTCCCTATGGGCTTGCTTCGCAAGACGAAACGTCTTGCGAGTTCTTGCGAGTTTGTTTCCTTTTTCTTAAAGCTGCTAAGCCGTTAATAGGCACTAAGCCGCAAAGCCGTTAATAGCCGCTAAGCCGCTAATAGCTGTGCTTCGCAAGACGAAAAAACCGCAAGACGAAGAGACTCGCGGATTAATTTCGTCTTGCGAGGCACCACTGTACTTGTAGTTCCCCACCCCTGGAACTCTTACCCCACAGAGTCTTGCCTAGTTATCTTTTACATCCCATTTTACTCTCCCAGACTTTTGAAGAGTGTTTTAAGGACATTTACAAGCAAGTTTGGACTCTTTGAATCCTTTGGACTCTTTGAATCCTTTGGACTCTTTGATGTAACCAGGCCGGGCCCACACACGTCCTAGTCCATTACTGCAATCCAAAGGGCTAGAAATTCGCTCTGGACACACAAAAATCCAGGAGCTGGGGTTCTTAGGAAACAGGATTCAAAACCCATACCACTATCTTACGTGCACTCCCACAGAATCACAGTGCACACGCAGCCTTGAATTATCCACACACTTATTTTTGCAGCCACAAAAGCACATGATTTGTTTTGCTCAGTCCTGCACCCAACAAGAGCCCCTCATCTGCACAGAATGCACATGGGCAAAAGCAGCAACTGCGCTTTCCTTCTGAACAGCTGTTCTGAGGTGCTGCATGGAATCCTACAACCAAAGTTTCTTATTCTGGCAGTATACACCTTTCCACACCCCAGAGTTTGTAGGCTTCAGTGCTGATCCACACCATGTAGGATGCAGGTGTCCGTTTGTCCCAATGGCCCACGGGGAAATCTTAGCCACCTAAAGAGAAGCCAGCATGTTCTGCAGAGTCTTTCTTGAGATTATACTGGTTCATGGCTGGGTTTTCAGCCAAAGGCTCCAAATTTCACTAGAGAAGGGATGGGGAACCGGTGTCCCTCCAACTATTTTTGAGACTCTGAACTCCCATTAGTTCCAGCCAGCCTGAGAGAATAACAGCCAGGAATAATAGGAGTTAGTAGTCCAACAAACATCTGCAGTCACAGGTTTTGCACCTCTGTCCCAAAGGTGGAGTGGGCAGACTTCAGTCATGTCAAATCTCCTTCATTTTTTAAACTAGAACTTGAAGATCTACTACCATGAGTCAGGTACAAGAGACGCACAGTTATAATTAAAGAACAGAGGAATTTGCTTTCAACACAAGAGATGAAACGAGTCCACAGTTCTTTCATACAAACACCTGGATAGTTTCATTTCAGCAGCGAGGCGGGGAGTGGGCGGGCAGGGGACAACGAGATGGACAATTTTGTTAGTGATATTGTTAAAAACACTGAGAGTCAGAAACTCTTGCCAATCTCATGCAAAGATATTTACCAGTAAATCTTGCTTCTGCCTGCCTCTGCCCTAGAGCATGGGTCAGTAGCACTTTGTTACTGCACTCCCAAGACAGTCAAACGCAGTCTGCCAGCAGGCCAATATGTTACCGTGCATTCCTCGTCAAATTGCAGTGCTAGAGGCATGTTTGCTTACCAGAGGCAGGCAGGCACAGAGACCTAGATCAGATCAGCCCATCAAAGTGGCTTAACTGACTCCCCACCAATCTCCGATGCTCTGGAGCACCCCACCTCTCACTCTGGACCAACCTGTTTGTTAGCAAAGACAAGGAGAACAGCATCTCGCAGTTCATCCTCTGCCAGCATCCGCATCAGCTCCTCACGTGCTTCGTTCACCCGCTCCCGATCATTGCTGTCCACCACAAAGATCAGACCTGAAAGCAAGAAAGGCTGAGGATGAAGGGACACAAGGTATATGAGAGAGACAGACAGACATCTTGCAAGCAAAGTATGAGGATGTGGAGTGGAAATGGGATTAAAGAATGTGAGACCAGTGGATACAGGGAGGTATACAAATTTAATAAATAATAATAATAAAAAATTAACATGTGAGGAACTCTGGAGACTGCAAAGGGCAGGCCAGCTGCTCAAAAGATCTAACTATCTGGAAAGGATGCAAGCCAGTCCTCAACCCCATTTTTTTCAAGAGAAGATGGGAGAAAAATGTTACCCAATGGAAACTCACAGCCCTTCCTCTCAAGGAGAAGTGAAGTCTCTTAGAAAAATCTCAGGCTTTGAGTGGCCTTTGCAACCACACAGCCTTATCAGCAACTCTGCGAGGCCTTTTCTCTATGGTTTTTTGTTGTTGTTTTTTACTCCCTGCCCTGCCCTACCAACACATACACACAAAGAAATGGGAAGGAAGGGCTTGTTTTCAAATTTGAAAGATAGAATTCATGTCCTGAATGAGCACTCCAAGTTTTAAACAGATCTCTCAATTGTCCAGGGGCATTGTCTGACTAAAAACAAGAAGCACATGTTAAACGAAGGCCAATTAACCCCACCACCCCTTCAGGAAGGCCTCCCATGCAAGATGCTGAAGCTCAGGGAAACAGAGGCTGCCTGATAGCTACAGAATCTTGATTGTATGGTCCCAGAATCATCCTACAATGCCAGCACTGCAGGGCTGAAATTCATCCGGTGTCATGCTGCCCCGCTCCACCCCAGGCCACATTCACACTGTACATTCAAAGCACTATGTTAGCACTTTGAAAAGCACTTTGAATTCTGGGAGCTGTAATTTGTTAAGGATGCTGAGAGTTCTTAGGAGACCCTAAAAAGTACTAGAGCCCCATGTGAATTGTGTCTAGCTGTTAACCCGAAGGTTGGTGGTTTGGGTCCACTCAGAGACTGCTTGGGGCAGGATTCCCGCATTGCAGGGGGTTGAACTAGATGACCCTCGGGGTCCCTTCCAACTCTACAATTCTATGATCTCTGGAAACTGCAGCTTTAGGACGGGAATAGGGATCCCCTAACAACTCTCAGGCACCCTCAACAAACTACAGCTCCCAGAATTCAATAGAGCTCAAAATAAACAATTGCAAGTGGCAAGGGACCCCAATCTCAACTAAAGCATGCAGGACAGATGGCCATCCAACCTCTGCTGAAAGACCTCCAAGGAAGGACATGCCACTCCCTCCCAAGGGAAGTTCTCAGCCATGCAGTCCTGATGGCCCTTTGCTTGCAAGTCACTTTGTTTCTCTTTGGAATTGTGAGATCCACACCTCAGTGAGAGAGGCACCAGCTCCTGTTTAAACATCCTGGGATGAGAGCAATAAAGCACTCTGGCCAAGTTACCTCAAGACAACAAATGAGGGGTTTAACTGAGTCTGGGGGTTGCTGTGCCCAAGACACCCCAAGGGTGAAAACAAGCCCAGAGCCATGCCAACCTGGAAGGTGATGGGGAGAGAGGAGCTTGGTAAATCCCATACCTTGGGTGTTTTGGAAGTAGTGCCGCCACAAGGGCCGTATCTTGTCCTGGCCACCAACATCCCACACGGTGAAGCTGATGTTCTTGTACTCCACCGTCTCCACGTTGAACCCTGAAGAAGAGCAGCAGGTTAAGAACCAAGTTTAGCACGACAGGGGACTCAGCCCTCCCTCTGAGCTAGAGACAACCAAGCATTCCACATTTAAAGACAACACACCAAGTATTAGCATGATTTTGCATAGGCCCCAGAATTGGCAGGCAAGCCTGTCTTGCTTCCAGTTCTAGTTCAGACTTCAGTTGGCAGGTGCTTTGCTTGACAACAGAAAGGCAACAAGTATGGCCATTAGAGGTTGCCATAAACTGAGGCTATATGCTGCTGCATGGTTCAACTATTTTTTGGTTCTCATTTTATGCATTGGTAATGCCAGAGAGGGATATTCTAAATGTTTTAATTGTACTTTGGGAACTGCCCTGCGATCTACGGATGGAGGACGGTATACGAATTTAGTAATAATAAAACCACTTTATGAGGCAAGATTTGTTCTCAACAAATAATTTGGCAAAATTAAATCAAAAAGGGATCTTAGTTTGCTCTTCAAGCTTCACCAGTAAGATGCGTTCACCAGTGAGCAGGTTACCATGAAGAAGATTAAGCACTTGTTGACCAAACTGACTTGTTTCCATGTAGAACCTTAGCTACAGTCCAACAGTGGGTTCAAGAAACCACAGGGTTGTATCTAGGGAAGTCACTGAACACACAGAACTACTGCTTGTGCCACGGAACATGTCCTCCCACTCCTCTCTCTGTGTGCCCCCCACATAATCCCAAAATCTGTCCTGGGGTCCGTATGTCCTTCCAAAAAGCTCCTCTGGAGCAGAGTGGGGGCAGGTATCTGTGGGGGGGGGGGCGCACACAGGGGACAAGAGGAAGGGGAAGTTCTTTAGTGCAAACAAGAGCCATTGTTGTTGAATTTAACCCATAGGCTCCAATGTGACTAACTCTTTAAAATATTCTGAATAATGAGTCACCCTTTCCAACATAGCTGAATAAAAATCAGATGGTGCAATCCAGGGAGCGCTAGTGCTCCACAATCTGTTTCCTTCCACAGCACAGGCACCGCTGATGAATGGAGGTTGCGCAGCAACAGCGCATAACCAATTGCACTCGTAACGGCCTCACAGAGGGGCCCCCACCCCAATTTTCCTTGTTTCTGAGCCATTAACAACAATGCTATAAATGTTTCCAAACTTCCCTTTCAAATCCATAAAACCAGCCATGGTTTTGTTTTTTGTTTTTTTGTTTTGGTTTGAGGAAAGACCAAACCAGCCAGTCCTGTTGTGATCCCGAGATTACAGTAACATATCAGAGGCATAATTCATAGCTGAAATGGAATTTCTACATTTGAGGAGGAAGGTACCTCTGGAAACCAGCCGCTGAGGGAAGGTTGTTCTCCTCCTCATGCTCTGGCCAGACATTAGGCTGGCCAGCCACTGGTGGACCAGAGAGACCCTTGGTCTATCTGGGCTCTTCTTAAGTTCCCGCGGCTCCAATGGGCTTCGAGATAAATGTGCTTTTGAGAAGTGCAGAAGCAACAGCCATCTCTGCTTAAAGCCTGCCAGCCCACTCAATACTACCCCAGGAACTGAGTGAGCTGGCAAGATTCTTGTTCCTAACCAGGAACAAGAACCTCAACTGCTAGGGAGACCCTGCCCCAGTAAGGTGCCTTTCCAAAGCTGGAGATGGAAGCTTGGAACAGCAATAATCAATCAAATTTGGGCAAATTGCTGGCATGGCAGGCAGGGTTCTGTGTGCCATGTGCATGTTTACGAGTTCTCCTCTGGATCTAGCGGCTCCTAGTTCTGTGAGTCACCCTAATTAAGCCTGCTGTGTGCTCCGTCAGGGAGGGAACGGACTAGTACAAATGACAGAGAAATTGCTTTAACTTAGCAGACACCCCTCAGCACACTCACACACCGCTTTCGTAGAACTGGGACTGAATCCCAGGGGCAGTAAGGAAGACGGGATGCAATGGGTCCCAAGGGGGAGCAAGGTGCTTGCTGATACTGCTGTCCTGAAGTTACATCCAATGACCTGGCTGCAATTCAACCCTTGGAAAAGGAAGGGGGCGGGAAGCAGTTCCCCATACTGTACTGGTAGTAGGCAAGAGACTGTACCGATAGTAGGGATGGTGGTGACGATCTCTCCCAGCTTGAGCTTGTAGAGGATGGTGGTCTTCCCAGCAGCGTCCAGACCCACCATGAGGATGCGCATTTCCTTCTTGCCAATCAGGCTCTTGAGCAGGTTTCCAAATATGTTCCCCATGGCGGCAGGTTCAACAGTGCAGGACTTGGCTTCTTCTGTCCAGTCGGTGTCAAAGGACAAGTCCTGTGACAATGGAGAAAGGCTATTAGTTGGAGGAATGGCAGCTCCCAGTAACAACGACCAGAACAATGCTCTTGAGACTTGCCCATCATGGATTTCCAGTCTCCCCAAAACTGGAGCCTGTCAGATGTTGTTAGACTCCCAACTCCTACCATCATCGCTAGCGAGCGTGGCCAATGGTCAGGGTTGATGGGAGCTGGAGGGCACCAAGCTGGAGAAGACTGGACTAGCAAGTCCTACAAGAAGAGATAAGCCTGAAGCAATATGATGAGTTTTGCACCTTCCTTTAAGGCTGGGCTCACACACGCAGGCATAGAACACCTGGCCACACATTCAGCAGCCAAATGTTAGAGTATGTAAATTTGGAGGGCTACAATTTCATTACCCCCTGCAAGAAACACAGACTCCACAGGAAGTGTGGAGAATATAGTGAAGTTCTTCCTGTGGTATTGAATCTGCCTGTAGGTTATTCACAAACGCAGGGTAATTTGATGCGTGGATCTAAGACTCCATTGGAAACCTCTTTCGAATGGAATCTTCTTTCAAGCAGGAGGAAGGCTTTGCTGAACTGAAAGCCACACCTTCTGCAACTTAAGCCAGCCCTACAAATGAATATCACAAAAGTTAATAACTGACTACAACACAGCCCACCCACAAAATTTTGTTTTTCATTTGTGACACTGCAACTGGCTGAAAGGATATTATGCCAATTCTTTTTCTCTTCATCAAGACCCGGCTGGTCTTCTGGAGGCAATGCTTGCTTACCAGGAGGCAAATGGCTCTTCAAAAGCCCTCCCTTTGATGGTAATGCAAAATTATTCCCGCCTGAAGATCCTTCATGCAGGCTAAACAAAGACCCACTCTGCTCACAACCAGACCATACATTCAAAGCGCACAGTTTCCCAAAAAGAATCCTGGGAACCAAAGTTTACCAAAGCCCCTCACAAAGCTACAATTCCCAGCACCCTTAACAAACAACAGTTCCCAGGATTCTTTTTTGCCAGGGGGGGAGTCATGTGCTTTAAATGTGCATTGAGTGTGCTTTAAATGTATAGTGTGGATGTGACCATAATCTTCTCTTACCTTTTCAATGAGCACCATCCATTTCTACCCCTGAAGAAGCTCACAACTTATAACCAATTCGACGAATCCCACAAACATACAAACAGCAATGTATGATGGGGTTCCCCCATGTCTTAAAAGAAAAGTATCATTTAATAAAATTTGTCACACAATAAATGGATACTATAACAGGCAAACCGGGCAGTTTCGAAGTTGCAATTGTCATCTATCCCTAAGCAACCCCAACAAACCAAGGGCTCCATTTTATTTGTAAACAGGGGGTGGTGTTTAAAACCAGAAGCTTAAGCACAAGGCCATACAAAATTCAAAACCAACTAATTTTGAGCCTCGTGAAGTTTTCCAGCTGAAAAAATCAAGAAAACAGAAATGCTACACATCCTCAACCCCCTATATTGTTGAACAAGCATGTTACGAACAATTATTTCCTCTACGCAGAAGAATCGCATTATCCGAACACCACCTGAACTTCTAGAAAATTCAGATAAGCATGAGCACCCCAGATTCTGATCAGATTATTCCTGATCATATCTAGTGCCCCTACAGTTGTGTTACTTTCCTCCAGAAATTTCTCAGTTTTTCCCCAATGAAGATCAGGCCCCTACAGTTTAGAAAGGAGACGGCTTGAGCAAGGTGACTCAATGCAACTGGTCCAGCCCCAGCCCCCCGTTGCCAAACTAGAAACTAAAGACAACTGTGGCCATAGGTAACAAGACAAATAAGGCTTTATGACTCTGTATGAAAAGGCTTTTGTTTTATGAACCTTTAAGGAATGCAGGCTACTTGAGACAACAGCATTTGAGTATGAAATTTGTTTCCCAAGCCCTACCATGATTCTTACAAGTAGTGGAAGAGGGCCAAGTGTGGAAGTAAGGCAGGCTCTATATCATCAGGCAAAGGCTGAGGAGGGGGATAAAAACTATCAAGTGTCCCCAAAATTTCTGAAGTTGAATAACATGGGATGGGATCAAGGCACTCACACCTCTTTTCTTCACCAAGTACATGAGGTTAAGTTGCTATCGTGTAACAAAACGGATGAGTAGAAGCAAGCGTATCTATGCCAGAATGCTGCTAGTTTAAGACTAGGGACTACAACTCCCAGCATGCCTTAGTAGGTGGAGGTATGCAGTTCAGCAAAAGGGAAGTGCTTCAACATCAGATGATGTGGCTATGTTTGGGGAAGAATGCAATGCCTTCTAACCTGGGTAAATGGCTTATTGCTGCTGCCGCTGCCCAGAAATCACCTAAATTCCAGCGTCCCTATAAGGAAAGCTACATTTGGTGAGTGAAGCAGGCCTCATGTTAGATGGGGAACAGTATCCTGATTGAGAGCTAGCGTTGGGGGCAGGGTGGGATCAGCATACCAGTGTCAGCAGAGACCTATAAGGGATCCTTTCTCCTGCGTCACAATAATGAAAGGCAAAACAGAGGGAGGGGGTAAAGAGAGCACACGTGCCAGGCACTGCCCGTCACATAAACCGAGCCACATATGGCAGCATTCATCATTGCTAGACAGCTCAGTCGGAAGCCACATCCACGGAGTCAACAAACTGACCCCCACAATTTGCCTTGCTATTGCCCTTGCCATGAGACCGGATGATCTGTTTCAGGCTTTGACCAAACACAGCCTTGGCCCAACCGACTGTGATCTGCTTCTTTTCCAAAATAAATAAATAAAAAATATCCAGGTGTCTTGTCCCTTGATTTAACCAGGAAGCTTTGTGCGTGGGAAGGCGCTGACACATCCCAGAATCCTGCTTCTGCCGGGGGCTACTGGCGCCCCCTTCAGCCGAGAAACAGTAAGTGCATCTCCCACAGCAGCTTCTCAAGGCCCAGGTGGCCTCGCAGGCCCGACCAGCAGGATGCCCCGGGCCAGGTGTCACTTGGGGGGCGAGCCCACGAGGGCGCTCGGCCTCGCTCCGTGGCAAGCCCCCGTTCCGAAGTCTTCCTCTCCGGCGCTCAGGAGAGAAGGCACGACGCCTGTCCTCGCCGCCGCGGCCACCCACTCGAGTGCCAGCCACCCACCCACCCACGCGCGCGCTGCCTGGCAAGCGCACGCACGCACGCAGCCCGCGGCTCTCCCCGGCACCCCCAGCCCTGAACCGCCTGCTGCCCCCACCCCCGCCCGCCGCAGCGCAAGGAGCCGGCCAGACACCCCCACATCGCAACGCGCGCGCTCCCGCGGCGCCTCTCGGGCTGCATGCTACCCGGCACTCCCCCCCTCGAACCCCCGCACCCCGTTGAAATATTGCAACACCCCCTCAGAAAAACAACACCACCCCCGCGCGCCATCTAACTTTGCAGTCCCTGGCCTTCCCTCCAACCGGGCAAAAGCGGGGGGGGTGAGAAGCGCCTCCCGGAGACCCCCCCTTTCCTGGCCAACGCGCGCCCCCCCCCGCAAGAGGCTATTCCCGCTGCCGCAATGGCCCCCGGCGCTGCCCTTCGCGCCCCCAGCCGGCCTCCGCGGGAGCTTCTGTCGCCCACGGCTGCAGTGAGGGCTCCGCCGCCCGCTTCCCGCCGGCCCTCGGCTCCCCTCCTCCCGGCCCGCCCGGCGAACGGGGCCCGGGCGCCCACCTGCTCCTGCTCCTGCGCGCGCCTCCGCCTCCTGCTGCCCAGCTGACTCTGCACTCCCAGCCCCGCTTGCCAGCCGGAAGCAGCGAGCAGGCAGGCCCGTGGACACGACGCTCTCGCGAGAACGCGCGCATCTCCCCCCCCCTACACACACACACACTCACTCACAAACCTGGGGGCGGCGAGTCTCGCGAGATGCCCCGCGCCACCGTCTCCATGGCAGCAGCTGCGGCGGTGCAGGTGGGCAGGGCGGGGGAAGCCTCGGGCGGCAGAGTTGGGAGGGACCCCGAGGGTCATCTAGTCCAGCCCCCTGCAATGCAGGAATCTTTCGTCCAACGTGGGGCTCGAACCCACGACCCTGAGATTCAGAGTCTCGTGCTGTACTGACTGAGCTATCAGCACTCACCCCTTCCTGAGAGAGCCAGCACCTTTTGTAGGTCTCTCCTTCTTCTCCACTGGGGTGCAAGATGATTTGCCGGAGGATCATGGCTGCATTTTGGAATGCGCTGGTTTTCGTGTCCCAGATTATGAAGCACAGTCAGGGCCAGCCTGCAGCAGGAAACGGGATGAAGGAATGGGGCTTAGAGAAGCACAAAGACAGTCTATACAAGTGTGCAGGTACAATTTAAATATAAAAACACATGATCCACAATTTTTAGTGTATTGATCTGAGATTATAACTTTTTAATACATTCAGTTTGGCAATGAAGGACCAACTCTGATTTGAAATACACTGGGTTTAGCAGCCATTAAATAAGAGGGGAGAGAGGTTCCTCTTGTGGATCAGGAATTGGTGGAGTGGTGGGAAGCAGAGAGTAGGAAATAAATGGACAGTTCACCAAATGGAGAGCTGTAGAAAGCAGAGTCCCTCAAGGGGACTGTGCTTTTAACTTGTTCATAAACGAGCTAGAATTGGGATGAACAGTGACACGGCCAGGTTTGCGGATATATTAAATTGTTCAGGGCCAAACAAAAAATGTGAAGAGTTCCAGAAGGACCTCTCCAAACTGAGTGGATGGGTGGCAAAATGGCAAATGTAATTCAGTGTAAGCAAGTATAAAATATTTTGGGGGCATGTTGGGGCAAAAAAACCCCACAACCTTAATATGCTGATGGAGTTTGAACTGGCTGTGGTGACTGACTGGGAACACAACCTTTGAGTCAAGGAAGATGTTGACCCAATGATTATACAAATCAATGGGGCAGCCACATTTGGAATATACAGTGGTACCTCTAGTTAGAAACTTAATTCGCTCCGGAGGTCTGCATTTGTAACTCGAGGTACCACTGTAATGTACAGTTCTGGTTGCCTCACCTCAAGAAGGATATTGTAGGTTGGAAGAGGTTCGCCAAAGGGCAACCAAGATGATCAAGAGGATGGAAGTACCCTATGAGGAAAGGCTGGAGCATTTGGGACTTTTCTTTTTTAGAGAAAAGTTGAGAAAGAGGTAACATGGTAGAGGTTTATAAAATTACGTTTGACATGAAGAAAACAGAGGAGAGTTGTTTTTTTCACTCATAACTCTGGAAGCCATGGACATCCAATGAAGCTGAATGTTGCAAGATTTAAGACATAAAGGAAAGTACCGTATTTTTTGCTCTATAAGACTCACTTTTCCCCTCCTAAAAAGTAAGGGGAACTGTGTGTGCGTCTTATGGAGCGAATGCAGGCTGCGCAGCTATCCCAGAAGCCAGAACAGCAAGAGGGATTGCTGCTTTCACTGCGCAGCGATCCCTCTTGCTGTTCTGGCTTCTGAGATTCAGAATATTTTTTTTCTTGTTTTCCTCCTCCAAAAACTAGGTGCGTCTTGTGGTCTAGTGCGTCTTATAGAGTGAAAAATACGGTACTTAACAACGCATAGTTAACTCACTACCATGGGAGGCAGTGATGACCACCAATGTGGATGCTTTTAAAAGAAGATTAGACAGATTCATGGAGGAGGAGAGGGCTATCCATGGCTCCTAGGCACAATACCTGTGTTCTACCTCCACTGTCAGAAACAGTATGCCTCTGAAAACCAAGTTGTTGGGAACGGCAGGTGGGCAGTGGTCCTATTTGCAGGTTTCCCTCAGGCATCTGGTTGGCCACCGTGAGAACAGGATCCTCAACTAGATGAGTCACTGGTCTGATCCAGCAGGCTCTTCTTATGTGAATAACCTTATATCAATATGATTATACAGACTCTCTTCTTACTATATTCATCTGGGAATTTCTGTCTTGCTGGACTCCCATCTTAGAGAAGGAGCAGAATGGCAAAGATGCCCCAGCCTTGCAGAGCCTGTGCAGAGACCAGCAGAATAATGATAGTGGCTTGCAATCCAGCTCTTGGGGCACAGAGCTAAGGAACCACTGAGTCATGGCACAGTGAGTGCCCCCAAACAAACTGAGCTCCAGCTTTTTGCCAGTGCAGTGGAAACCTTAAGGACAAACAAGGCTAGCAAATGGATTCAGTGGATCAAATCCAACAATTAGTTAATATATTTAATTATGGGCATTATGAATATGAAAGGTGAATTCGGTAGCAACTGAAAAGACTAGTCCATCCCTATATACACTGTGCAGCAGGCAATTTTGGACATGCCTACCTCCCCCCATGCCTGTTGTTTTTGTCCATGGAGTTTTTTTTTTTTTTAATATAATATTTATTGGTTTTACAAAAATTCCAAAACATACAAAAATACAAAAATTCCAAAGACAAAAAACAACAATAACAGTGACAAAAGGAAAACAAAAGATAACAATAACCATAAAAAAGAGAAAAGAAAAAAAAAACAGAAAAATTTAAAAATTTATACTTTCATTTAACCTTCTTATCTTTCCTTAGTTCTTTGACTTCCCCGCACCTCCCCACTTGTATTTCCATTTAGAAACTCCTTTCAGCAAATCCTTACCCTCCTTCCTTTATCTTACCTCAAAAACTTAATCTATATATAAATAGATATTTTTACAACCTTATCAATCAAATATTCCATGCTCTTAAACGCAAGGCTTTTGCCAATACCAGTTATTTTCAATCAGACCTCAATTTAACATTCATTAATTTTATAGTATTTCTGTAGATAGTCTTTAAATTTCTTCCAATCTTCTTCCACCGACTCTTCTCCCTGGTCACGGATTCTGCCAGTCATTTCCGCCACGTTTTTGTCCATGGAGTTTTCCTGGCAGGGATACTGGAGTGGCTTGCCGGTTCCTGCTCCAGGTGGATCACGTTTAATCAAAACTCTCCACTATGACCTGTCCATCTTGGGTGGCCCTGCACAGCATAGTTCATAGCTTCTCTGAGTTATTCAAGCCCCTTCACCATGACAAGGCAGTGATCCATGAAGAAGTAAGAAGGCTGATCACCAAAGAATTGATGCTTTTGAATTATTGTGCTGGAGGAGACTCTTGAGAGTCCCATGGACTGCAAGAAGATCAAACCTATTCATTCTGAAGGAAATCAGCCCTGAGTGCTCACTGGAAGGACAGATCCTGAAGCTGAGGCTCCAATACTTTTGCCACCTCATGAGAAGAGAAGAATCCCTGGAAAAGACCCTGATGTTGGGAAAGATGGATGGCACAAGGAGAAGGGGATGACAGAGGACGAGATGGTTGGACAGTGTTCCCGAAGCTGCCAGCATGAGTTTGACCAAACTGGGGGAGGCAGTGGAGGACAGGAGTGCCTGGCATGCTGTGGTCCAGGGGGTCACGAAGAGTCGGACACGACTAAACGACAGCAACAACCTACCCCATACCTGGCTTTGCTGAAGGCAGGGGGTTGCTGGCACTGCTCATCAGCAAAGCCATGTGCAAAGAGCTCTGAAAGAACCAACAGTGAGAGTCCTTTGCTTTGCAAGGGGCTCAGCAAGGCCTGACAATCTGCCAGCTCCCTTGCTAGATAGCACTACGCAGGGGGCATAGGAGCCAATTCCTAGGAGCCAAGGTCCCTTCGGCCCACCCAATAAAATATTTGAAGGGGCCAGCCCCCTCCCCCAAGTTAATGGGCATTACCGTTTAAATGGTGTGTGTGCCCAGCGTCGTGATTCATTATGAAGGGCTAGACTTACCTGGGTCCCCCAATATTTTTTTCAAGTTGGCATCAAGGGGCTTTGCAAGATGGTGCTGCTGAGACCCTTGGAAAGTGCCATCATGCAGAGTGCTTTGGAAGGAGCTTCACAAGACCCAATAATCAGATAACTTTTGGGTCTTGTGAAGCCCTTTGCAAATCACTCCACAATACCCTGTGGGCAAAAAAGTGAAATAATGTCAGACTTGGCCTGGGAAGGATGGGAGAAAATAATGATCTGATTCACCAGCTAGATCCAGCTCCACACTTCCACATGAATGTACTGTGGTATAAGCTTTCATAGGCTGCTGTTGGCTTTCTCCGTGCTGAGGCCTGGAAAGTTTGGTAGATAAAGTGGTGAGACATTTAAATAAAGTTATGCTTCCATATTGGGGAGCTGTATATTTTCAGCGAACTAATGACAGATTAAAAGAGGGATTGCTGTTCATGTTGTGTGTTATCCCGCTTTTACCTGTGGTAAAAACATATTGTTGAGACAATGCAGAAACCTGCAAAACATGTTTGACTAGAGATGTGTGTTAGCTATGGGAAATGATGCCTCTGTCAAACCAACGTCAGCTCAGAAAAATCTGTCTCCTGCCTGAGCTGTCCTCTTTCCAAAGAAGCCTAACAGTGCAAGCCCAGTGGTATTATTTCATATTGGAAGAGTTTCTGAGGGTCATCTAGTCTATGGTTAACAGATTTTTTTTCAGTGAATCTGGGGACACTTTTTTTTTTTTAAAGCCTAGTAGCAACAGGGAGTCAGTAGTGGGGACGGTGAGGCAAAAGGCCCTGGGCCCAAGCACACATGCATATTGTATACAGGTGCAAAGCCCTTCTTTCACACCCTGTGAAACATAAATGCACAGAGGTTTTTTAACTCCTGGGCAACGGCTGCCCATCCATGACTCCCGAAGCTCCCCAAATCTCCTGCCCACTTCCCCCTTTGTTTTGATAGATTGGGGGAGGCTCGGGAGTCACAAGAGGGCGGCCGTTGCCCAGGAGGGGCGCAAGGCACACAGTTTCTCTGCCAGGCAAGGTGCAAAGCCCTACTTTCGCACCCTGTGAAACATAAATGCACAGTTTTTTAAAAATTGGGCAACGGCTGGCCGGCCGGCCTTGACTACCAAGGCCCGCCCCCCATCAGCCAAAACAAAGGGGGAAGAGGGCAGGAGATTGGGGGAGGCTCAGGAGTCGCAGGCGGGGGGCTGTTGCCCAGGAGGGGCGCAAGGCGCGCCGTTTCTTTGTCAGGCAAGGCACAAAGCCCTTCTTGCGCACCCTGTGAAACATAAATGCACAGGTTTTTTAAAAAACTGGGCAACGGCCAGCCGCCCGCAACTCCCGATCTGTCAAAACAAAGGGGGAAGGGGGCAGGAGATCTGTACCGCCGGATGTCCCTGGTTCCCCTTTGGCAGTGACGGCAGCAGCGGCAAGTCTGCAGGCCCGAGCCAGCCTGGTAGCGCAGTTGGCTCTAGCTGGCTTCAGGTGCTGCTCGTTGCCGTGGCGCCCACCATTTTTCCTCACCGGAAGTCCCCATATAATGTGTCTTGTGCGCAACAAATCATATGGGGACTTCCAGTGAGGGAAAAAGGCGGGCGCCACGGCAGCGAGCAGCTCATGAAACTAGCCAGAGCCAACTGCGCTACCAGGCTGGCTCGGGGCTGCTGAGGCTGCCACTGCCATATTTCCCGGGGACAGATTTGTAAATCTGGGGACATTCCGGGGACAGAATTTGTCCGGGGACAGATTTGCAAATCCAGGGACTGTCCCCGGGAACTGGGGACGTCTGGAAACCCCAATCTGGTCCAACCCCCTGCAGTGGAGGAATCTCTTGCCCATAAGGCTCAAACCCATGATCCTGAGATTAAAAGTATCAAGCTCTACCGCCAGAGCTATCCCAGTCAGAAGTGCCGATAAGCATGCATGTCCCACTGAATGTAGTGTTTACTTCTGAGTAAATGTGCACTGTAAATCTGTGAAGGCTACCTTTAACTTCCCATTACTTGTGTGGTGCAGAACTGCAACAAGCATGGCACATGCTAGTATTCAAAGCCAATTGTCATTGCTGTCAGTCTATAGAAAGTTCTTCTGTAGTGATGAAGATGAAGATGATGAAGATGATTTTAAAAGCCCTAATGAAAACGGATCAGCATTTTAGAATGAATTTCTCCTGGTATACCAAATGTTTGTAATTGTATACTCATTTTTGCAAAGCTTATTTTGCCTAATATTTATACGTATTTCCATAAAATTCATGTTTTTATGTTTGCATTTCTATGCACACTTTATCCCAGTATAGGCATTTTTGTACACATTACTTGGCTGGAGAACTGCATTGCAGAATTTGGGAAAATGTGAATTTCAAAGGATGATTGTGCTTCAGTTTGTGGATTGTTTCAGAAAGTGTGAATTAAGAAGCATACAGTGGACGCTCGGGTTGCGAATGTGATCCATGCGGGATGCACGTTCACAGCCTGCAGCGTTCGCAACCCGCAGCGGCGTGTTCGCAACCCGCAGCGGCGCGTCTGCAACCCGCAGCGGCGCGTCTGCGCACAGGCGGGGTGTGATTCGGTGCTCCTGCGCATGCGCAAAGCGTGATATAGCGCTTCTGTGCATGCGTGACCACCAAAACCCGGAAGTAATCCATTCCGGTACTTTCGGGTTTCGGCATGTCTGTAACCTGAAAAAACGCAACCTGAAGCATCTGTAACCCGAGGTGTGACAGTATTTGCCTTTAAATGTGAACCGAAACACATTTAACTCTGGTGCCTACTGCTAACACACATTTCAAGCACTTTGAGCTAACCTGCCAAATCCTACTTTTGCTGTGAACATACTGTGAGGTGACATGGACAGAAGTTCACCCTGTGCCCCCTCCCTGCCCAGTGGCCAAATACTGAGCCACCCCTCAGTGGCACCCACAATAACACACCTCTCTCCCTGAAATATACTCAGAGTCGCAAAGTGATTTCATGCTCTTTATTCAGCTCATAGTGGTGAGGAGGAATGAATGAATGTCCCCTCAAAGTATCTGCTTTATATACATTATTTACACAATGGGCTGCACATGATTGGCTAATTCCGGAATTCTACTGTAAGCCAATCAGGTTGTGGATTCGCTTCTATCTGGAGAATGATTGGGTGGTTCCTGCCAACCAATCATACTGCTGCATTGTTCTAGGACCAATCAGACTGCTGCGTTTTGGATCCTATTGTTCTAGGACCAATCAGACTGCTGCAGTTTGGATCCTATTCAACTCAGTACATAACACTCCCCTACTGCTTCCCCGCTCCTTCCACCCACTGTCTCACACATGCAGTTGGCTGAGCTTTCCATGTGTTCAGATGCAACCACTCCCTGTTGAAGTGCACAGAGAAACTCAGCACAAGTGAAGTCATGGCTGCGGGTGGAGACCAAGCTGAGTTCAGCAAGTAGACCTGGTCCAGCCTGACTCACAGCTTGTGGGTCCCTCTTGGGCTGGGACCAGGATGAGGACACTGGCAAATGGCTGGGGATCTCTGCCTTCAGATCACAAAAAGCTTAAACTCAGCCTCTGTGATCTTTCAGGTGCACTGGAGAAGACAGTAAGTGGGGCAGGATATCCCATAATTGAAAGCACTAGTCAGCAACTAGATTTCCTGGTCTGCTACTATGAGAAGCAAATGGAGAAAGTGGAGAAGTGCTTCAATTCCCTCCCCATAATTCCCACCAAAATCTGTTGCCACTGACACCAGTTGCACCACTTTAAAAAAAACAAAACAACACTTTCAGGGTGGTGAGAGGATGGCAAAAAGCACCTGCCTTACCCAGGCACATTTTCTGAACTCCCAATTGTGCACTATGGTGCAGCCGAACTGGAGTGCAGGAAGGATGTGGCTGTGAAAATGTCCCAACTGGATCTGAAGATGCGTTCGGACCAGTGTGTGTTGTGTTTGTGCCATGTGCTGTAGCAAATTGCAGAAGGTGGCCCACTCCATGCCACAGTCCATGATCTGCCACTTTGCTTTCCCCTTCCGCCCCCCCCATGCAAAAAGCATGAGGGAGGGGAAGAGACAGGAGCTTTTACCTGATTGGCTGGAAGAGAACCACACTGTTCCGTTTCATAGACATTTACCCACTTTTCCTTCTTCATTATCTGATTGCTTTAAAGAGTGATTTGCTCCGCTGCAACTTCCAATCATTCACTTACATATTTAAAAGCTGTGTTTCATAGTGGATCTTTTCTGGTAATCTAACGGTTGCATGCTTCTCTAAAGAGTGTCAGAACACGTCGAAGGAAAAATAGAGTAAAAAGGTTCTTATAATCCGAGTCACAGAACATTTACAGATGCTTTTAACCCTGACACTTCAGTAAAAAACAAATCTTGAGTTCCTTTGAGCATGTGAAAAGTGCCTTTCCCTTAGCCACAATCTCAGCAGTGACATACACGACTGCAAACAAGGGGCAAAGCTTCCAGAAAGGCCTTGAGGTCTGGAACCTCTCCTTAGTAATTAACTACTGGAAAGGAAACAAGAAGGAAAGCACTCTGAGCTCGGAGGCAGCTACAACTTTGTAGAAGCCCACTGTGTTAAGGAAGCCCGACTTGGAAGGATCTGCTGGAAAATCTCCGTGGTGTCCGTATCATCAGGCAAGGCGAAAAAAGTGTCATAAAGGGTGGCGATGGGGAAAGACAGAAAGTTCTTCTGACCCACAGGACACAAATCCCCATTAAATGAATGGAATGAATGGAGCCTATCCCAAACCACACTTCATTTTCAGAGACTGCAGAGAAGCTCTCTTGCATTTGTCCCCAGAAGGTGAGCCAGACACCAAGGATCTTTCCTTGCAAACTGCGTTGAGATTTCAATACACTTGAGTGATATATAAACGTTGCTATTTTGGGGGCAGGGGGTAAAATGCCATTTGGCTTTTCCACCTCAAAATGTCTTAGGCTGCATACACATCAAAAGTTTAAGGCACCCCCCCCACCCAAGAATCCTGGGAACTGTAGCTTGTTAGGGGTGCTGGGAATTGTGGTGTGAGGGGAACTACAGTTCCCAGAAAGCATTGTGCTTTAAATGTATGATGCGTACGAGCACCCTTGTCCATCCTCTTCTTTCCCAGCCTTGCACACGTAAAGGATACAAGGGAGGGTATCCATTGTTGCTGTTAACCCTTCCTCCCCCATTTGCAAGTAGCCTTTTCTTCCCTCGTTGCCTTAGTGGGTGACAGCCAAATGTAGCGAAGCCCCCACCCCCATAATCTTCTAATTCCAAACAAATCCTTGTGCAAGAAAGCAATGCTTTGTTTTAATTTCGGTTTATTGGAAGAATCTCTGAGCATCAGTTCCATCTGGAAAGAAGCATCATCCTGGGGCTGATGGGACCTGCAACCCTGCAGTGGCCACGTAGTAAATCACCCCATGGAGCTGGCTGCAGCAAGCGCCTTTCCCCGAGACCAGAGCCAGGGCCTGACAGAAGTCGAGAGGAATTTTGAGAGGTTGTGGTTTGGGTTGGAAGGAGATGTTCTGGCACCGAAACACTGACATACACACATCAAGCTAATTGCAAACACACACACGCACACACACACACACACACTCCATACACTATTATCACATGCGCTTCCCAGGCTTACTGGACACTCACTGGGATGTGCCAGTAATTCCTGAGGCTCCACATCTGGTTGCACTATTGAAATAATATATGGTCTGCTTATGACACACACTTGTGTTGACAGGCTTCCTATATGCATTGGGCTGGACATTTACATTTTGTGACATTTACCTGTAGTAGCAAGTTGCTATCTGTCTTCATGTTACACCAGGGACAGACTGCAGTCTCTCTCCCTGCCAGCACCCCATATTTCCTTGCTCCTTTTCAGGATTTAAGTCAGTCCTTTTGCAAGCTCAAGGAACCACACTGAAGCAGTTGCTGAGGAACGCCTGTGTGTTGTGAGCAATCCTAGGTGCATCCCGCTTCAAGCCACAGGCCCGTTGGAACTCACACAAACTGGGAGCATGGCTAATCCTCTCCCAGGGCTGCAGTGGAAGACTGGGGATGGTGGGCAAGCTGTCTTCCAATGAAGCTTGCTGATCCCACCCAGGAACTTGTTGAGCTTCCAAGGTGTCCAGGAACAGTCTGAAAAGCAATGATTTAAGTCATGGCTCCAGGGCCAGCCCTGACATTTAGGCACAGCAAGGCCACCATCACAAACAGCTGATGCTGGGGGCAGCAACCCTCTAGTGGTTCCTTGCTGCCTTGGGTGCAATGGGGGACACAAGCCTGTTGTCTGCCAGTCCAGTTGGCCTCTGTACTTGGGATGGGGAGAGGCACCTTCACCTTCAAGACTAATGCTCAGAGCTCATTCATACTATCGTTTAACCTGGACGGTAAGCTTCCTGTTCGTTCACTAATTCTCGGCTGTCCACACGACTTTCTCCTCCAGTCGGTGCCTTTCCTCCCTTTCACCTCCCTTAATCTGCATTTTCTTATACCATCTCCTTTTCAGTGTATCCGTGGAGTAAGAAAATCCAGGGAGGAGAAAATGTGAGAAGGCAGTGATTCGGAGGAGAAGTTCATATGGACAATGAAGAATTATAATCCACATTAAGCAACTGTATGGTTGAGCCCTCAGTCAGAAGAGACAACAACAGGGAGGGAAGACTTTGAGCCTAAACAGAGTGTCTTTTCCCTTGCCACTGGGTGACTACATGTGGGATTAGGGAATGAGATCTGAGTTAGAGGAAGCAACTTGCATGAAAGTCTGGGTTTCAGCACCTTCCATTTTGGGAACTAACTTTAGTCCTGTGTATTACTTATCTCCAGACACTTATTATGGATAGGATTTTAGGTATGGTATTTAGATTTTAAACATGGCAGAAATCCATTGTGTACATTAATCTACAAACATAGATTATGTGACATAGAATATTGTCTGGGGGTTGACAAACAAAACTGAGTCGTGCCGCAGCCTAAGGTAACGCCAGCAGAAGAACCGCCATTTCGTAAAACATGTTTTTAAAGAACAAGACAAAGATTGATATATAATGGTCTCTCTTTTTTTGAAAAAGTGGGTCTCATGTTGCAGGATAGGATTAAAGCTGGCACCTCACCTTGTTTCTAACACAGACAGGTACATACTCTGCCACATTGCACATCACACCTATAGGATACACAGCAACAGGTGTTTATCTCGTTCAATACACAAAAGCTGCATAGCCAAGGTCACATACAAATGTGAACATCTTCCATGCCACACACACACACACACACACACACATGTATAAATGAATGTATACCATGGGGGTAACTACTATTCAAAATTCAGATCCAGTCTAAAATTCAGAGCTTTCTTTTTGGAGTCTGTCTGTTGCAATGGGCCGTATGTTCCTGCTTCCTTGTTCTCAGGAAAAGGTGTGTACTGGCCTCATGCAGGTTGCTCCCAGACTTCAGAGCCTGACTTTGGAAAATGGACTTCTTGATTCCCTGTAGGGTAAGACTCTCTCATTAAAATAAATAAATAAATAAATAAAATACATATCTTTTAGGTTTTGAATGCCAATCGAACTGATTTCGTAAAATTATTATTCGTGGTTTTTAAAAAATTGCATTAATGTGTCTGTGGATTTGAATTTCTGTGCCTACCTGTGTTCTTAAAGGCATTGGTGTGTTATGGGTAAACAGATGTTTAGGTTTTGTATACAGCCCCTACTGGCCCTCATTCTACCAGAGAACCAGCTGTGGGGACAAGGTTGGAAGGTGGTCAAAAGGTGTTGTTGTTTTACACTGAAGCCTCCCCTTCATACTACAAGAGGGGCAAGTGTGGAGGGGCAAACATAACTTTCACCCAGGGCAGCAAAATAGATTGAGCCAGCTACTGCTGACATGTACCTCACACAAAAACCCACAGAGGTCTACAAAACAAACGGACGTTGGGCCAGTGGAAAGATGCAGCTCCCCAGGATAATGTTATACCTCCATTAGCCATATGAAATGGCTTCGCAAACACACTTCAGTAACAAAGCAAAAGAATAAATTAACCCTGCAGTATGACACCCCACTGTCATTTTGCTCGTCTTGCTTTTGCTGGGTTGGTTGCCGCTGCTATTCCAAACGACTGCAAGAGTTGCAAACCTGTCTGTACATTTTGCCTCCTAAAAGGACAGTCTGAGCTTCTTACACCTGCCACACGCATGCACATGCGCACGCCACCCTAAACAAATGTTTAGACTGTGCACACACTCCCGTTTACTCTGCATCCAGTGCACTCCCATCTCTGGTTTGGGAAGCAGTGGACACAACACAACATGACCCACAATTCTATGTATCCCACTGTTTCTCATGGGGTACTACTGTGTTTTGATGCATTCCCCCACAAACTAGCTTCAATCCGAACTGAGAGACCTAGCTGTGTGTTAAGCTGGCAATGCACACACAGCCTTTCAGTGTCCCAGGCCCTTCCATTGGCTGCACTGGGGCTCTGAAACAACTAGCAGCCCAGCTGGGGTCCCACAACTCATCCCTTGCACTCGCCTGCATCAGCCCTGATGCAGGATTTATGCCAATAATGTTAGGTGTCTCCCCCACAACAGGTATTTGAAGAGCGACACACTGGGACACAAAGCCTTCAACATGTCATGCCTGCTTCCTCGCCGCCACCAACCGCCAAATAATCCTTGGGTGGCAGTTCATCATAAAACAAGGCACTATGCACAGAGAGTCTGGCACCACCATGGGGAAACAGGCCGACGGAAGGCTACAGCTTCCATGCTGGGCTTAGAAATCCATCTGCGATCCATCCATTTGTACGTGTGTTTCCACACTGCAGCAAATCCTTCCTGTCATGGTGTTAGGAGAGGCCCAAGCATGGCATGTTTGGGATGTGGCAGAAGAACCACAGTAAGCATGTTCTGCGGAAGGCCTAGTCTCGTGGGGTGCTGGGTCCCCTGAAACGAGGTGCCCTTCAAAAGCAGCTCATTGGCACATGGCGCCAGGCCCGCGCCATGCAGCCATGCCCCATGTAGCAAGGTCTCTGGGAGGACAGGGCCTCGCTCCACGTCACTTGCAGACGTTCACCCATTCTGTGGCAGGGCACTCCTCGCACTCCACGTGGCAGCACCAGTGGAAGCGGCAGTGGCAACGCTGGGCATGCACCTCCTGCAGCACATTGTGGCCCCGGCCGCAGCACAGGCTGCTGCAGCCGTCAGGCCGGACGCTGCCCTTGGTGCAAGGGCGGCCACGGGTGCCCGGCGAGCCCAGGCTGGGGTCAGGCTCGCAAAAGTCAGGCGAGGGTTCGTAGAAGATGAGGTGCTTGGCCAGGCGCGAGCGCTGGAGGCGGGGCCGGAAAGCCCCCGAGTTGCTGTTGTGCGGCCGCAAGAGTATGGCATGGTCCATTCGCTCCCTCAGGTGAGAGCCCACACGGCGGAAATCGGGTGCTGCCAACCAGCAGGTCCGGAACTGGCAGCTCCCTGAGGGGCCGTGGCATTTACATCTCCGCTGGCTCAGCTCTGACACAACCTGCCAAGGACGGGGTGGGAAAGGGACAAGAACGAAGCATTAGCTGCAGGAAAACGTGGGGTATTGCAGTCGCATCAACAATTCATGTTTTGCCAGACAGGGGCACCAAGGGGCTGAGGCTCACAGAGCTTTCCTGTAAACTTCCTAGAGGGAACTCTGTGAAATCATTTCCCTTGTGCCCTGACAGGAAGTGTGTGTAGTTATACAACCTCCTCCCTGCCTCTTCTCCAGCATGCCAGCAATGTGAGAACATCTGCCAGCAGGGGTGCCAACTTGAATTGGGGGGCAGTTAAGCCCTGCCCTTCATAATTGATCACATGATGCGGTGCACGCACATCATTTGAATGGCAATGCCCATCAACTTGGGGGGGGCAGCCCCCTCAAATATTTTATGGGGGGGGACGAAAACCCCTTGCCACTAGTAGTTGGCTCCTATGTCTGCTAAGCTCAGACTCCATTTTTAAGTGAGACTTAAATACAACTTACGAATTACCATTTTAAGCCTACTTGAACAAAGTTGCTGTACTGTATCTGTTACTCTTCAAGAAGCACACTGAGCGAATAAATGTTATTTTTACATTTTACAAGGGTTTATGTGATGGTTAAGGGGGAGAAAAGGGGTCAATACCAGGAAAATACAGTCTGCCTTAAAAGCTTAAAGCTTCCCTTTAAGCTGCAAAGGGATAGCACTCTGCTGAACTCACAAACATGAGGGAGGAAGGTTAATATCTATTAAAAAATCTTCTCCAGCATCTAATCACATCACAACACAAAAATGGAGGCGCTTCCTGCTGCAGGGAAAGAGATGGTACCAGAGACACCAACCAATTCAAATCCAGTTTGATTTCCGATTAAATCTCTGAATCACCACAACAATCTATAACGATTTCATCTAACTCATTTTTTCTTTACTATTTTTTTTTTTTGGCATCCAGTGCATAGAGGGCCGCTCTGTGTGTGCAACTTGAATGGCTATAAAACAAGATTAGACAAATTCATGGAGGAGAGGGTTATCGATGACTACAAGCCATGATGCTATGCTTTACCTCCAGCAATGCTTCCGAATTCCTAGCTCTCCCAGCTGCGTGGGGAGACGGAGGCTGCAGAACCAGTTGCTGGAAACAGCAGGAGGGGAGAGGGCTCTTGGGCTTGAATCCTGCTTGCTGGTTTCCCAGAACAGAGAGGACTTCCGGGTTGGCGCCTCTGGCAATGGCGGATTTCCTCCGATCGGGAGGAATCCGCCCCGTGGAAAACAGGGTCTGAACCGCCACAGCGAGGCGGAGACCCATCAAAAACCACAGGCGGGAGAAGCCTGTGGACGTGGGATTCGGCTGGCACCTTTGCGCCCCCCCTACTCGCGGGGAAACCCTGTTTTGGGGATCCGGAGCGACGTGGGGTGAGTGGCGCGGTGCTTTGAATCGACTGCTTCTTTCACGGAGTGAAGCCGCATTGCTGTTGCTGGAGAGCGCTGACTTTTTTCCTGTGGACAATTGGATTTCAAACAACTGCCCGTGAGTAGAACAGAAAATTAGACTATGAAATTTCTTAATTAGGCACTGAAAGCGTGAAGGTCTAAACAGGAAGTCCGCCTTCCGCTTTTGTAGATAGATTGAAGCAAAGACATGGCAAGCTAGAGTTCAGAAAGTTGTTTGTAAAGGACTAAATTTTCATCATTTAAAATTACTGAACCCCCCTTGGAAGCAGGAGAAGAGGGGGGAACCTTTTTTAGACTGTTTAAACCTGCAGAAGAGAGAGTAAAGAAAGGTAATTTTCCACCGTCTTGAACCTGGGAGCGGGGTGTCAAGACAGACGTTTTGGAGAAGCTCATTGACTACGGACAAACGTTTTTGACAGATAGTTAAAAGAACAGAAACATATTGATTCCATTGTTCCCTTTCGCTTTTAAAAGGAACAAAATATTGACAAAATATCCGAAAAAGGAAAACTTTGTTGCTAAATCAGCTTTTAAAAAAAAAGAAAAAAAAGATGGATACAAATAGAAATTGTTTCCCCTAGAGGGAGCTTGTGAAATTGTTATTAAAGTCGAACTGGGGAGTTTTGCAGCTGTAAAAGATTAAAGATCGTGGGACCAGACTTCGACCTTGAACAAGAATGTGCTCAGAGGCTCTGGTGCTTGCCTTTTGCAAGACAAGTGCTTTATTGGAACAGTTACATGAGAAAATGGATTTGATGACAGTTGCGATAGGAAATTTTGGACAGGCAGTGGGTACCTATATAGAACCCACTCAGGAATTAATCCAGGAATGTGCTTTGACAGATGAGATGAGGGAGGAGGCTGTTGCTGGACCTCGGGTGCCAGAGATGGAGGGAGTTGTGGCCCAGCAGGAACATGAGTCGTTGGATTTGATGAATGAACCTGGAAAAAGTCAGATTTGGAGAGATGGAGTTCTGCTTGGTTTGGAGATGGGGGGCTGGATGGACCCCCCTATGCAGGGATGTTTTGACTTTTCAAGTCTGGCTTTAGGCCGGGGGGAGCTCGGAGTTGTGGGGGCCCCTAATTTTGGAGGGGCCTTGAAACATGCCTTTAAATACCACATGGATTTCAGTGTTGACTATGGAAAAGGGGCTGACTTGTCGAGAAGGGACAAAAATATTGTCAAGTTGGAGTCTCCCAGAGTGAAAGGAGCAGAAGACAAAGTAAAGTACAGGTATAAACATGAAGAAGACCTGCGGAAGGGACATGGAAAAGACTTAAGAGCCTCGGATATAAGGTCACCAGGTTGATGGACTAGATGGATGGGATAGAAAGGACTGACAAAACCCGAGACCAGGAGAAGAGACGATGGATGAAGATTGGAAGAAAGTTTTAAAAATTTATTTAGAAAAGTATTGTAAAATTAATGAGTATTAGAAAAATGTTGGAATGAAATTATTTGGCTTTAGCAGAAATATTTAAAAGAATTATGTAAGAATATGTTATGGTTAAAAGAATTTGGTATAAATAAGATTTAAGTTTTAAGTTTTAGGGTTTTTTATGGTAAGATAAGGTTAAAATAGATTAAGGTAATTTAATGACAGAATATTGTGAAAGATGGAAAGGATTTGCTGAGATAATTAACAACTAGAATACAAAAAAGGGAGGTGTGAGGAGGTCGATGAAATAAGTTAATGAAAGTTAAGGATTTGGGAATACTGGATTTGTTTTTAAATTTGTTGTTTATTTTTGTTTTTTGATTGTGTTGCATTGTGTGTTTTGTTTTTATTTTTGATTTTGTTTTTTAATTTTTTGTATTGTTTAATTGTTACTTTTATCTACTTTTTTCTTTCTTTTTCTCTTTCTCTTGTTTTTTCCTTCTTTTTTCTTTGTAACTTTAAAATTCTCAATAAATATCATTTTAAAAAAAAAGAGCACAGTGAGAACAGAATGCTAGCCTAGATGGGCCACTGGTCTGATCCAGCAGGCTCTTCTCATGTTCTTATGCATTTGTTTCTCTCGTGAATCACACAATCACACAACACCCTTTCAGGATGTCCTTCTGTTGTGGGGTTATTGCATTATTGGGGTACACAAAGCTCACAATGTTTTCCATCTCAGAAAATGCATCTTTTCCTACGGGGAGGGAATCCCTACCTTCAGGATAGGGCAAACTTTATTCTGCTGTTAGTCTTACCAATTTAGTTCTGTTAAAAATAAAACTATTCAGTCTTTATGTACAACCTCAGCACTGAAACATTATGCAAAACATTATACAATTTTGTGTGTGTGTGTGTGTGTGTGTGTGTGTGTGTGTGTAACAGACTCCCTCGGGAGGTAGTGGACCAAACATCTGTTGCATTTGCCATAGCGACATAAGAATAGAGGAATGCCGCTTATCTGCATCCACAAGAAGTCTGGGTTCCAGTGGTGCCCTGCCCTTCAAGTTCTATATTGGAAGTTCAGGCGGTGAGTCACCCGGACCTTTACTTCATGCCTATGCCAGGATCCTGCACACTACAGCCCCCTAGTGCCCACAAAGAGTCTTCAAGAAGAGAACAGGAACAAATCTGGGAACAATACGGCATGCTAATCCTTCCAACTCAAATTTGGTTATTTAAATACAACACACACAGGAAAACAGCGGGATTCCTAGGAGATCCCACCTGCCACAATGACATTGAGTGACCCATTTTTGCCTGCACGGACCATCAGCTGATTGATCCATAATCATGAGCACGGCAGACTTGCAACATGAATCCTGAGGATGCCACATAGCGCACTGCATACCGGATTATGTACTTGCCTGTTTACTGCTGCCAACACAAAGGCGTGCGTAGACCTTCAGGAATCCAGCCCCGTGGGGGACCCTTTCTCCCTGCTAACTCCAGCCCGGCCCTTTAGTTACACCAGATACTCTGGCTAGCAAAGCCCTGCCCCAGGGATGCCTCCTACCTTTCTGCCTACGCGATGACTGTGGAGCTGCATCCGTGCGTGAGCATCGCGCGGTTTCCCTCGAGGGTCCAAGAAATGCCGGGCAAATTTCTGGGCATAGTCAAAGTCTGCACTGCAGCCCCCCCACTCCCAGGTGTCCTGGGGGCCAGGCTCCCCCCACAAGGAGGCCTTGCCGCGGCTCAGGGTCTGCAGCTGGCTGAGTTTCAGCTTCTGGGTCTCGGTGCCTTGCCTGGCGCAACCGCAGCTCTGCAGCTCCCCAAGGCTACAGGCTGTGGCTACTGCATGGGTCACCCCAGCTGCCAGCAGCGAGAAGGCAAAGGCGCTTTCCCGGAAGCCTGTGGGGACACAGAGGAAGGAAGAGGGTGAGTTGGAGATGCAGCTGGAGGGCAGCTCAAATAACCAAGCGAGGAAGCATTTGCAAGGAGACTGGTGGAGAGAAAGGATGCCTGGCTAGATATCTAGCCCTGCACATTTTGGGCATGTGTGTGTCCAACAGTCATGTTGATTTATTTGTTTTTGACATTTATATACCGCTGACCAACCATGTCCTCCGAGAGGTTCACAAATTTAAAATCAGTTACATGCAGATGGAAAACACAATTGATGCAAAAGCTGCAACCAGCACAAAATTAACGTAAAACCAGCAGAAATCCACATGGAAGCATTCTTTTTGTAAAAAAAAGCACTAAAACCGAACGAGGGGAAATGGTTTTAAAATACCTAGTGGTTGGTACAGGAGGCCTGGGAGAAAGAGAAGGTCTTTATCTGGCACAGAAAAAAAGATCCTGACATAGTTGTCAGGTGAGCCTCTTTGGAGAGGGCATTCCACACTGAAAGGCTTTTCCAGCAAAGGGACTGACTCATCTCTCGTCTCATTGTGTGACCTCTGAAATCAGGGCTGCCTGGACTCTGCACTACCACTACTGCCAGCCCTGCCACACACATAGATCCAGGATTAAGCTAATCCAGAACTTGAACCAAGATAGACAAATTCTGCATCTGGTACAAATCTAGTCAAACATTCTGCACATAATTGCTAATTTCTCATCATTTCTTTTCCTTATTCTATTCAGGGCAGGAAAGTAACAGAAACAGCTATGCAGGACACTCCTCCTTTAGCCACTAGAATTCCTGCTCAATCCCTCATTGTCTGGCTTCTGTGATTTCCTCAGGTATTACACACCCAGTTTTAACCCTGCTTTCACAGTCCTGAGGGCTAGGAGCTTTACTTTTTTTAAAAAAAGCAAAGGGTGCTTTTGGACTGTCGTTATTTTGGGGTGGGATTTAGTCACACCAGCAAATTCAAGTTGTGCAATTATAGTTGATTGGGAGGTCTTGAGCCGCAGAACATCTGCTCTAGAAGGCTGGACTTTTTGGGACATGGAAAGGGATGGGGAAAAGCACTGGAAAATGTGGGATAACGGCTGCTTTGATGCAACATCATCTAACCTCCCTGCAAACAAATCAGAATAAATGCTCATTAAACAGCCATTGTTGTTTAATCTGTCAGCAAACTAATGCTCAATAAAAAGATCATCTGGAGTAGTCGAAAAACAGAAAGCAGAGCTTTTCAGGATTAAATTCTGTGCTTGTGCGGTGAGGTCACAGTGTATATAGAGCCATGCTTAGATCAGCTGAGAACATCATCTTAGTAATGCCATTCGTATGCCAAGTTAGAATGTCAGCGGCTACCCAAAACGAGAGAGTGCCCTTCCCTGGGCAGGATGCCAAAATCTCCCAGTATTTTCAGACCACCACAAAGGGTTTTTTTACGTGGGCTGGGCTGGGATTAAACTGGTTGGGGTTGTGTGTGACCGTGATTTTAGCAACTAACTACTGTGACCATTCACAATCTTTCAGGCTGGGCAGGCACACCTTAAAATATCTAGTAATTTTAAATTAAATAGGGTTGTGTATGATCCTAGAAGTGGCATGTTTATGTCACTGTCAGGGTTTTCCCAAAGAACCCTGCAAGGACGGCAGTTTGTCCTGGAGTTGAAAGATGCCTAGCTGTCCCCTCACAGAACTACAATTCGCAAGGTTCCCTGGGGTTATTATAAATAAGCCAATCCATAGTACAGGTTTGATCTTCTACAGTGCAATGCTAGACATGTCCACGCAGAAGCAAGCACCAATGGATTTCGATGGTAAATGTGGGTTGCAGTCCTAGGGAGCTTATAGGCAGTCATGATTCTCAGGCTGGATTCAGTCATACCCCAGCAAATTAAGGCAGCACAATTAAAGCTGATTTGGAGCTTGTGTAAAACATATCCGCTTCCCCAAAATATCAGACTTTTTCCAACAAGAAAAATGACTATGGGGGAAGAGAGGATGCAATGGAAAGGGTGGGATTAACACTCGCATGACACAATCTCCCCACAAACAAATCAGGCTGAGGGCTCATTAAACTGGTCGTCTGGAAGCAATCTTAGATCCTGATCTGTTCAGGCTTAGCAGTATTGGTATTTTCTTAAAATCAATGCAGGTTTCTTTCGTAGTGGAGATTAGCCCTCTTCCCTCAAGTAAATTAAGCCTCTTCCTCATCATCCCATCATCCAGCCCTTCGTCTCCACTAATCCTGATTTACCTTTCCGGTTTGTTTCTTGATCAGCCAAAGCCTTTCTGTTATTGATCCTCACTTTCCTACCGTCTTCCCATCTGATGCTGCCTGAGATCCTGATGAGCCGGGCCAAACTCCCACCGCCACCCTCCATGACACACCAGGCAAAGGCACAGAGCCCAGGTGCATGGGTTGCAGCTTGATGAAGCTCTTGCCTGCCCAGGGGCTCACTTTGATCTTGGATTTAAATTTGGAAATGGCTCCTTCAAAGCTGAATTAATCAAAGAGATCCAGAGGACCAAAGTAAGGAGCTCCCGGCCAACTTGCCTCTAGGGTCAGGTGTTGGCCACTACATCTGCAACCAGGGAAAGGTGCAATCAAGAAAAGGTGCCTGCAGTAGGTTCAAGGGGAAAGAGCCAGGGGTGGTGTTCATGAAGACAGGCAGGCAGGGCAGAGCAGACAGGATCTAAGTGTATTGGTGGGTGGGTGGGAAGATGCACTCAGATGCTTCCCACCACCCTGTCCCACCAACCAGGTCACTGCCTCCTCCTCCATATCAGCTGCACAGGCAGAGAGGGCAGGCATCAGTATTATCTGTTGTTTACTGTTGCCAATTGTCTGCCCGCCCCAGTGGGCAAGTGGCAAGGGTGGCTAGGAGCATCAGTCAGAAAACCAGGAGGAGTTCCCTTTCCTTAGTTTTGGCTAAGCCATCTGCTACAAATCACCCCTTCACTCAGGATTGGCACCCAGCTATTAAGTCGTAACAATAAATGTGCCTTCGAGTTAAAAGGCAGGAAGAAAAGTGAGCAGCCAGTGGCAGAAAGGAGCAGGAATGGGCACAGTGGCAAATGGGGAGGTGGCAGGGCAGTGCTCAGGGGAATCGGCCGAGTGAAGCAGGCCCAACTCCTTGAGGGATGCCCAGTCCTCATCAGGATAAGAGAGCACGCAGGTGTTCATTTAGTTGGAAAATTTATAAACCTCTTGTTCAGAAAAAGTTATTCAGTGATGCCACCCATCTGACTGGCTTGCGCCAGCCACTCTGGGCGGCTCCCAACAAAAAATAGTAAACAACAACACCCACTAACAACTTCTCTGAACAAGCAAGTGGAGTACAAGCCCAATTCTATTTTTAAAACCTGACTAAAAAGATGGTTGCTCGTCCTTCTCCTCCTCCATAGTGGCAGCAGGCTTCAGGAGAAGCCATATTCAGGCTCTGAAGTCTTAGCAGTTTTCCAAAGATGCTAGCTACTCACACCAGCCCTGAGGCAGGCCCTGGGAACTGGCTCATCTTAGGCGGCAGGTGTGGAGATGGACAGCAAGGTAAGGGAGGACAGAACTGCAGTGGCAGCACAGCCTGTTGTGGACACCATCCAGTCACTGTCAGGGCTTGGAGTGAGGAGGAATGGTGGGGACTGCCCCCCCCCCACACTTCCTGCACCTTCCGGAGGAGGACAGTATAGATTTACAGCACCGGTTTGCAGAAGGTCATAGTTCAGAGGCTGCAGAGGGGAGAGGCTGGGAAATATTGGGAGAGCAGCAGGAAGAAGCAGCAGCACCAGAGGAGAGACAGCTGACAGACTCAGTGTCTTTGGAAAGCATTCCTGACCCCCCTCTCCCAGGACCCAGCGTCCATTGAGAGTAGGAGAACAGAAAGCTCAGAGGCAGAAAGCACTGATCAGGCAATGTAGGGATGATGTATAATAGGAGAGACAGAGAGAGTGGGACTTTACTCGGAGCAACGCCATTATCTGAGATAGATGGCATTTCTACATTCTCTGTGAATATTGAATAAAATACTTGGTAAGAATTGTTCTTGCTTATCTGCTTCTTGCCTGCCACCTTGGGAGGAATCAGATTCCCCAAAGCCTGACAGTCATTAGGGTTGAATTCCAATGCAAGACCGGTCAGCTTCTCTGTGTGGACTTGGGGGAGGGGGTGACATTTTGTTCTTTGCCTCAGGCAGTAACATGTTTGGGGCCAGCCCTCTCACCACCACCCAGTCTGTTCTTATCCTTAAGGTAAAGGGTAAAGGGATCCCTGACCATTAGGTCCAGTCGCGGACGACTCTGGGGTTGCGGTGCTCATCTTGCTTTATTGGCCGAGGGAGCCGGCGTACAGCTTCTGGGTCATATGGGCAGCATGACTAAGCCGCTTCTGGCAAACCAGAGCAGCGCACAGAAACGCCTTTTACCTTCCTGCCGGAGTGGTACCTATTTATCTACTTGCACTTTGACGTGCTTTTGAACTGCTAGGTTGGCAGGAGCAGGCATTGAACTGCTGACCTTCTGATCGGCAAGCCCTAGGCTCTGTGGTTTAACCCACAGCGCCACCCGCGTCCCTCGTTCTTATCCTTAAGGTACATTTATTGTTACTCCTGGCCCAAGAATTCTCTTGAGGGAGAGAGACTTCAACCACAGACAGTTTAGGGAATGGGACCTCCCTCCACTACTGATTTCTTGTTGTTTAGTCATTTAATCATGTCTGACTCTTTGGGACCCCATGGACCATAGCACGCCAGGCACTCCCTGCCTTAATTTGGTACAGTGGTACCTTGGTTTTCAAACATAATCTGTTCCAGAAGACTGTTTGACTTCCAAAACGTTCAAAAACCACAACTCAACAACCGACAGCTAAGCTTCAGGTCCTTGCACTCAGTGGAAGTCGTGTTTCCTGTTTGACTTCCAAGGTGCATTTGAAAACCGAAGCAGTCACTTCCAGGTTTTTGGCGTTTGGAAACCGAAACGTTCGACTTCCAAGACGTTTGAAAACCGAAGTACCACTGTACTAGGAATAACAATGTCAAGCAAATCAGGTCTAAGCACCAGGAATCCCTGACTACTGGTGAACAATGGATGATGATGATGATATCCTGTTCTCCTGACATGATGGGTGTAGCTCAGTGTTCCCCAAACTTGACACAGCTGGAGTACTCCCTTCACCCCACAAATTAAAACTGGAAGTACATGTCACTTTTATAGCCAGGGCACACTTGCACACCAGGACAGAACTCCTGGTGCATCGCCAGAGGAGCCAGATGCATTGCTTTTCATGTGTCAGTGATCTGGCGCAATGCCTCCCGATTTGAAGGAGGAAAGCCCAGAGGTGACATGCAGAGCTGCTGGGTGCAGCCTCCTTGATGAGCGATAAATTCTGCTGTGAATCCTGCACCGCGCGTAACTAAACGATCCAACTGCACTCAGTGCAGAGAAGTAGCAGGATCAGTGCTTTTATTCTAGAAAAAAATGGTGCTGGTATTATAATTTTCTTCATAATAATAATTTATTATTTATACCCCACCCATCTGGCTGGGTTTCCCCAGCCACTCTGGGCGGCTGCCAACAAAAGCACAATAGAACATCAAACATTATAACTTCCCTTATTAGGGCTGCCTTCAGATGTGTCCTAAAAGTCAGATAGTTGTTTCTTTCCTTGACATCTGATGGAAGGGCGTTCCAGAGGGCGGGAGCCACTACCGAGAAGGCCACTCCCCATGAAGTTGCTACACTAAGTGCCACCCTTTCAGCCAGTGTTTTTCTTCTAGAAAAAAAGGTGCTGGTACCGCGTACCCCTGAGTAACCCCAGAAAAAGAGCACAGAGCAGAATCACCATTCACAGCAGAGGCTGGTTGGTGACTCATACAGGGATGCAGCAGGCAGCCTCTTCTGTGACTGGGCTCTTCTGGCTCAACCAGCCTTTTGCATCCAGTTCATTTATTTCTTGTGGCATGCTAGCAAGGATTTCATGGCACACTGTTTTGGAATTACCACTGTAACTCCCTGGGCCTTCTATGGGCCTCCTTGCTCCTGTGACTTGTCAAGTGACAGCAAGACCTTCTTTGGCTTTCCCTCCATTTGTAGTGGAGTGTTTGGCTCCATTTCTGTTGTCACAAGAGGGGAAAGGGGGCACTGAGTCAGCTCCTAGAGGGAGGGCCAGTGGGGAGGCGAAGGAGTGTGCAGCAATGATAGCAAGGCATGAATCAAGTTCTGGTTTTATTGCTTACAGACTCCAACAGAAGAAGAGGAAAGTGTCAAATCACATCACACGGCAAGTATCCTCTCAAGCTCCTCACCTCTCTTCAGAACAGCGCTGTTGAGAAGCATGGTGCCGCTACTGCTCAAGTCCGAGCAATCCCACCGCCTCTCTTGCAGCTGATGCCGGCATTCATGGATGGCGAGGTGGATGCCTTGCAGAGCTGAAGCCATGGCTTCTGGGCTGCGGGTGCAGAGCCCAAGTTGGCGCCGGCTCAGCCAGGGGAGGGTCATGCAGATGGTGTTGGGAGTAAGAACAGGTTCAGCCAGCGCCCTTGGGCCTAGGAAGTCATGGCCCACGATCCTGTAGGAGAACAGAGGAATTAAGCAGGAACTTGGCTTTGGGGACAAAAGAGGAGGAGGGGAGAGAGAGACAGAAAGGCAGAGGCTACTTACTGCCTCACCCACAGATCATAACAGACAGGAGCGAACACAGTGGGCAAAACAGAATGCTAAACGATGGAAGCTCCATAATTGAGATTGGGTGCCCCTTAGATAAAAGTACACCCATCCATCTGGGCATGGAGTAAGCTACCCGAGTCCTTGGCTAGACAAAATCAGCTACAATGGCCTAAAAAAACTGGGCAATAGCACAGCGTATCTACAAATTCTCTGGGCCTGGGTCCATCACTAGCACCAGATGTGGAAGCTTTAGCTGGAGTCAACAATGGATCTGGAGCAAAGAGACCGGAGCATTAAGGAGCTCTGAACCAGCAAAGTCCAGAGGAGACTGAAGGACTTATGTAGCCATTGTCTCTACCAGGTCCTCTGCAGGGTCATTCTACTTCCTCTTGGGTAGATCCTTCCTTCTGAGTAGAAGGGTCAGAGTTGTCTGGAAGCCAAACAGGCTCCTGTGGCTTTGGCTTTCCCATCAGCTTCGCAGCCTCCCTTTGTGCCCAAGGCTTAAAGGAGGGTAGGAGAGAACTGCAGAGAAAGGCAGGGCTCAGGATGGGGTCATGGAGTGGGGATTTGGGGGGGGGGGCAGGATGTGTCCAGGTGAGGCATCTCAGAGATGGGGCTCTACAGGTTGTCTTTGGATTGGTTTCTCTATGTCTTCAGTGGGAACAGGGTGCCGTGTGGGAGCCCCATCACGCCCCTTCCTCCAGGGAGGTCTCTCCAGGGTCTGGATCAGCCAGGATCTCAGTTCCATGCGTCTCTGCAGGAATGCAGGGTAGGGGAGACCTCTGAAAGAGGAGGGGCTTCTGTGCAAAATTCTGTGGACACCACCAGAAATTTGGGGGTGCCACCATATCTGTATCTATCCCCTGAAACATACAGATCCATTCAGATATATATAGCTTCCAATTTAGAGCTGGGAATGAAGTTAAATTGTTCTTTTCCCTCCTTCATTGAATTATGTATGCTATTCCCCCTCCCTGCCCGCTCTCTGACCCATTGATCTCAGCCAGATGCAGAAAAACCCACCTTAGCCCCTAGGACTCCAATCTTTGCGCTACAACCTCTCCATTTCATTCCATTCTCAGGTAAGGCGGGAGGGAGAGAGGGAATGACTAGGAAGCACAACTCCTACGTTTCTGCTAAACCTGACGGGTCCCACACCTCAAGCAGAATCGGGGCCAATGCATTTCATCACACATGTGTGGAGGGTCGTGCAAAACCCTTGTGGCAGTCCAGCCCAACTCTACTGCCTGAGGGAGAGATCAGTGCACCTGGGTGGGCGAGTATCCAGGGGGAAATTCCCTGCCTGCCCCCCCACCCCCCTCACTGGCACCAGATGAAAGCCAGGTTGGAGATCAAAAGCATCACCCTGCGGCTCAGCACCCAAAGAGGGGGTGGGAGGGAGATGTTCCCCTGACAGAAGCAGAGAAGCCCCTCCCAGATCTAACACAGGGTGTCTCCGTGGCAACAGAAGGAGGAGCAGGAATAACCCCGGCAGTGGCAGACACAGACATGTCGATGTGGGAAAGGGAAATGGAGCCAAGTTTCCTGATCAGAAGGGGCCACCATAGCAACCACCCAGTGGAGAGGGACATCCTCAGGTCGTTTTCACGTGCAGCTCCAGCTATTGCTCCCAGCTGACACAGAGAGATCAGTGGCAGTCCCTCTGATCACACACCCTCTCCCGGAAAATTACCCCAGACAAACATCAAGCATTTCTCACAACAAGCCCCACGGGAAGGAGTTTTCCATAAGTGGGGCACTTGTCTTAGGGCCTCTCATCACAAGAGGACCAAATCAGCCCCTAAGGGCACATGATAGATCTATCTAATCATACTCTAAACAGAAATATGGGAGTCAAACATTATAGAACGTTCTCCCTGTACAGAATTGGGGCCAATTGATTTCATCATCCATGTGTGCAGGGTTGTTGCCACACTAAGCCCTTGTGGCTGTCACATGCATCCAGTTTATGATGCTCAGAGGGACCTTCTTTTGAACCTGTGAATCCTTCCTTCCTTCCTTTATACCAACAAGAACCACTACTGCAGCTTAGATACCAACTTGGCAATCCTGTGCATGTTTACTCAGAGGTAAGTCCCACTTGACAGTATCCTAAGCGAAGTGGGCAGGGGACTGCAACCTGAAGGAAAGGCCCATTAAAAAACAGCAGAATTTACTTAAGAGTAAATGTGCATAGGATTGTGCTGGGCTGCTGCAATAATGTGCATAGGTACTTGGGAATAAGCCTTGTTAAATTTGGTGGGATTTACATCAGAGTAAACATGCTTAGAACTGTACTGTGCCTGGCTGATTGTGGCCTGGGGCGATCTTCACTGATTCACAGATAAGAGCCTACATCTCCAAAACATCTCTCAGGGTCACTTTGCATCAGGAATGAAGAAGCTGTGGCCTTCCAGATGCTGGTGGACTCCAGCTCCCATCAGCCTCAGCCAGCATGGCCAATGGTTGGGGGTGATGGGAGCCGGAGTCCAGCAACACCTGAAAGGACCCCGCCCTGGTTTTACATATTGCCTGTAGTGGCATGGTAGCTGCCTCTGCTGTGGCTGTTCCCAAGCCACTCTGGGAATGCATAAAGCTTCCACCCATGTTACACAACATGCCAATGACACACCACCCAAAAAGGCAGGCGTTGCTGGCATGTTATGTCAACGTACACTTTATGTCTATATGCTGCTGTGTCAGTGCGAGCACAGCCCTCAGTCCGCATACACATCTGATAAAGCAAGGCTACAAAAATGCAAACCGCGATGAATCAGTTTCCAAAGGGCTGCGATACCATCTCCTTTCGTGAACGTGAAGCGTCCTCAAAGCATCTGAGCATAAGAACATAACAGCAGCCCCGCTGGATCCAGGCCAAAGGCCTCTCTAGTCCAGCACTCTGTTCCCACGCAGTTCAACCAGACACCTCTGGGAAGGCTACAAGCAGAACATGGTCCTCTCCCGCTTCGGTTCCCCAGCATGCCGCTGAGCTCAGAGCTAATAGAGCCATCAGGACTCAGAGGCATTAAGAGCCTTATCCTCCATGAATCTCTCTAATCCTCTTTCAAAGTTGCAAACCACTTTGAGATTCCCCCCTCTTAAAAATATAAACAATATAGAAATATTGTTATTATTATTATTTCCATCCAAATTGGTGGTCATCACTACCTCATGTGGTCAAGATGGGGATAGCCCATTAGCACTACCCCCACAGAGGAAGAAACTCTCATTCCATGCACAGGTGTCCACTCGTTCAGCTACTGTCCAGCTGAGACCCTCCAGCACATATTAGCATAAGCTTGTGCTTAGCCCCTTGCTTGGTCATCTACAACCGAGTAGAGAAATGCCTGCAGGTAATGACTCTCTCACACCCCACCTAGTCATAGAGAATGTTTGACTCTTGGAGGTTTAGAAGAGACCCGTGCCACCTCATAATCACAAACAATCCACGCAGACCATCATTAACTCATCCTGAGCTACTGGTCTTCAGCTGGTGGGCTGTGCCATGATCCAAGCTGGGGCACAACAGGAGCACTATCCTCACACAAGTAGATGGCATATAAGAAATGGGTCCCCAAATGCATGTTTGGGTTAAAAGTCGGCCCTGGATCCAAAAAGAGTGAAGAGACATGTCCTCAGCGATCATCAGAAATGTGTTCCAGGAATTCCGCCTACATATTCCCTCAGCTTTAACCCTCTAAACTCACTGCTTTCGTGGAAAATCCAGGCATCACATTTTAAAAATCCAGTGGGAAAGCAGGGACAGAGGAAGCTGACCGAGGAGAGGCTACAGCTGTACAGTTTGTCCTTGGCATATTGCTTGCTGCACACTGATGTAGTAATGAAGAAGCAAGCACGATGCCAACTGGGCAGATAAATGCCCTTCCACACCAGGGACCCTCATTAGCCCCACATAATCACACCAGTGCCATTCTCCTGGCTGTTCAGTATCCCCAGCAGGACAGGGGCAGCAATTTCTGGGACAGCTTCATTCCCACCACCACAGCACCGCACCTCAGTGAATCACTTACCCTCTCCAAAGGCAGAGGCAGGCAGCAAAGAGACAAGTGGCCACACAGGGGCTCATTGGAGCCATGCCAAGCTCTGACCGGGCTGCTCTCTAGTTTGGCTGGAGGTCACCCTCTCCCTCATGGCCCTCCCAAGCGGGGCAGAAGGAGGAAGGTTCTGGAATAAGAGACAGTAAGTAAGTGGGGTGGGAAGTGGGCAGGGGGGAAGCGAGCCGATAACCCTTTCCCAACGTCCTCCTGATTCCCTGGGAGGAATAAGGGTCATTTCCCCAGCCCCTGACTCCTTCGCCTACCCCAAAATAGGAGCTGAATCATGGCCTCTCCGTAGTTTAAAGCATTTTTTAAATGGCAGCAGCTAAAGGGATCAATACAAAAAGTAAAGAGGCTGCCATGTGAGCACAGCTCCTGACAGAAGCTCCCTCGATTCATTCTACTCAAGCTCTGCCATCTCCATCCCACCTACTGTAATCAAGTTTCAAGGGCTATGCTGGGTATGAACTTGTGAGGAGGAAGAGCGACCTGCGGGTATAGGGCGGTATATAAATTCAATTAGTAATAGTAATAATAATAGCAGCACAGGTCAGAAAGAAGCTCAAGCTTCAGCAATTATTTTCCTCCCACAAATTTCTTCCTGCAGCTGGAAAGGCAACCCACTTCTCAACACACACACACATTTACAACGGGGCACTGACCTAGGATTGCCAAAAGCCCCCTTGCCCCCTCCAGCGTGAAAGAGCGGCAGAAATCCAATACTCCATTATGGAGATAGAGCACTATCAGTTGAATTTCTGCCTGTCTGGCCGTAATTAAAGATACAGGTGAGGGCAAGGATGGTAAGGCTACGTTGAACCTAGCGGCATGGCTTCAAACACAGTGACCCCAGATCCCCAGCTTATGCGGGAACAGCTCACAGTCCCCGTCCCCCCAGCAGACCTGCCTTCACGCAACCGAGGAGAGAGCGCGCCCTTCCTTCTCCATCCAAGCTTACCGTGGCAGCCAGGAATCCCCTCCCCTCTCGTCCCTCGGCTGGTCTCCCTCTTCTCTCGCTCATCTACCTGCCCCTTCTCCCTCTCCCTCTCCCTCTCTCCGCGGCCGCTAGAGCCTCGCCTGGGCGAGGTTTTCCCCTCCCCATCCGGGGGCAGCTGGAGCCGGGAAGCAGCTGTTCAGTTCGGGTGCGGTTCCAGTGCCCACACCCACGGGCGTGAACGCCAGCCCGCCGTGGGTCCCACGGGCCGCGCGCGGCGCCTCTCTTCTCCCCAGGCGCAAAGCGCCGACCCCACCTTCTCCCGCAGCTCCTCGGCTGACCAGGAGACGACCCGCCCGCCTTCCACCGGAGAGAACCCAGGCGTCCTGGCGCCCCAAACCCCGATCCCGTCTCCCCTGAGCGATTGGATCCCAACCACTGGATCCCAGCCTCTCCCTGCTTTCAAGCCTCTACAGGTTGCCTTCCCGCAGACTGATAGAGAGGATTAGAGCAGAGGAAAGTTTCTGTTCGGTTCTTTTGACTCCCTCTCCTTCCTTCGCCCCCCGCCCGCCCGCCCTTCGGTCTCGTTCCTCCTCTAACCTCGCGCGCTGGCCTTTTTTCTCCCTCCGTCCGGACGATCTGCTCGGGCGCTTCTGCAGCCGGCTGCCAGGTTTCATGTCTCCACTCCCCTTTTCCTAGCAGGCTCCGCTGCCGTCCCTCCTGCCTCGGGCGTCCCAGCCCCACACGCTCGCGTGGGTCGGCCTCGCTTCCTCCCCCCTTTTCCTGGGGGCGGGTGGGAAATCGCGCGGGAGGAAAGAGAGATCCAAAGGCCATCTAGTCCAGCACACACACACCGCACGCGGGGAGCGCGCACAGCCCTAAGGCAGAACGACGCACCCGCCCCTCCCAACTAGCCCCCAGGTGTTACGGAGAGGAGAGAGCAGGTGCACCTCCCCAAAAACAGGAACCGGGCTTGTTCGGGACTCTAGCCAGTCTTCAAAGATAAGCCCCGGAAAGGTTGCAGCATTGCAGCAATAAAACTGCTAGCCTCTGTGCAAAGCTAAGCAGGGTCCGGTATGGTTTCAAATTGGATGGGACACCGTGCGTTGATATTCCTGCATTACAGGTGGTTGGTTGGACTAGATGACCCTAGGGATCCCTTCCAACGCTGCAATTCTGTAATTTTGTGGTTTAGGATTCCGCAATTCCCCTTTCCCAAACACAGGGAGGCCCTTCAGAAATTGCCGGACTGCAACTCCCACCATCCCTCACCATTGCCAATGTTTGCTGGGGCTGATGGGAATTGGAGTCCCAACGCTGTGAAGCCGGGGGCTCCGCCTCGAGAGCCTAATGCCCCGCAACTGAATGGGTATCCCTTTCATAAATGCTGCATGCACGACACTTAACTGCAACCCCGTTATATTCTTGGGAGAATGTTATCTATGGTTCCTCCCAATTAGCCCCACGGGAGGAGAGGCAGCATCGATTGGCCTGGAGAAATTTAATTTGATTGTTGGCCAAGCATTTAAACCTTTATCTTCGCTCCTCCAATACTGTACTGAGTTCCGGGTATAGAGTTGTTGCAAGGTCGTTCATCCACCCGGGCGCTCCTTCTCAGATTCAATTGCATTGCTGCACGAAGAACTGAGACGTGTGCGGGGCGGGGAGCCCCTCTTTAGCGCGTTGTGCCGGGTGGCGCGTGGACTCTGAGCAGACTGAAGCGCTGCTGAGCCAGTCGGTAGCGTAAGTTAGACGGTCCGCCATGCAGCGAGCGAGCGCCCCAAAGGCGGGTTGGTTCCGAGGCCACGTCGGATAATAGCAGCGCGATGCGATGTAGAAATTGCGAACCTAACTCTAAACAAGATCGGGCTGCACGTCGGGTGAGCAGCCTTGCAGAGAGCAAGCTTGCACGGCTTGCGCTTCAATTGCAAGGCGCACTTGGACAGGATGCCTGTGTTGCATGACTTTCCTTGGCTCGGTTAGGCTCCCTTCCTTACCCTTCGAATTATCGCACGGGCAGGCGGCTCGCAAAGCTGGAAGGGGCGCAGGCAATCGCTAATGGGGAGGAAAAGACGGCGATCTCCTCTCCCAGCCTTCCCTCCAGGCATAAATCAGCCCTGCACAGAGCAACTCCCACCTATAGGACTTCGCACACAATCCAGCCCCCGCGTTGCAGTGTTAGGTTATGGGGCCTACAGAGCGAGCAAACCGGGATGGCTGCGCAAGCCCGCAGGCGCCCTAAGTAAGAGGAGCATTATGCACAGCGGGGTTTGGGGTGTGTGTGAAGCTACAAAGCACCACCACCAGCTGGACTCCTGTTCTCCGAGCCCTGCAGCCTGGCGGGGTTGCTGCTTGCTGCCATCCATCACAGGACACTCCCAAGTTTCCAGTCCGCTGGGTGCCCGCCGCTTCCTTCCCGCCCTCGCGCGCGGCTCCGCGATGCTGCCAGGGAAGCCGCCCCGCGAGCCCAACTCGCGTGCAAGAGAGGGACTTTCCAGGGTGGGGTCGACTGATCCGCAGGCTCGGTGGGCTTTGCCTGTGCCCGTTCCCGGGAGCCGGGACCTTCCCTGACTGCGGCAGGGGCGGCGCGCGAGGCGCGCGGATGCAATTGCACAGCTCGCAGCGGTTCCTTCCTCGCGTCCGCCCTGCTTTCTCCCCGCCCGTTTATCTTGGCTGCAGGGGACGATTATGTATGAGTCAGTCGGAGGGGAAGGTGAGGCGCTGAGGGTGGGACTGAGCGGCGGACGGGCTATCCCTCTCTCCGGGGGTGGGTGACCACCAGGCTTTGGGCGCCAGGCCTAGTCTCGGGTTCTATTTCCGTCTCTGGGAGGAAGATGACTGAGGTCTGGAGGGTTAGAAGTTGAACATGAGGCTGGGAACGAGCCAACACGTTCTCGGCTCTTGCCTTTGCTCTGGGAGAGATGCACTGGGGTTCAGAAAGGAAGGCTGGCTCTGAAACCTGGCCAGGACTTCCCCAGAGAACCTGTTTTGGAAGCTGGGGGGTGGAAGGACACGAAAAGGGCCTGGAACATGAGAAGAGTGCTGTTGAGAATGTGCAGAGTGCATTCTCTCACCACCAAGGATTTACCACAACAAAAGGCCACTGGGTTGAAATTTGTCCACTGCTCCACCCCCAAACTTGGCAGGTTGTCACACGATGTTGTGATGGCCATTAAATGATTTGATGGGTGGGCATTGGAACCAGATAGGTCTATCGGGGCTCCCAATAATGACATTATATGGAGCACCCATGTTCAGATGCAGTATACCACTGAATAACTGATGCTGGGGACAGCCGGTACCTTGATGTGCTACCCATGGGGCTTCTCAGAGACATCTATCTGGCCATTGTGGGTAAGGATGCTGGATTAGGGCTTGTCCATATGACCTATATTGAGCTTTCACCCTGAGTTGCTTGCACAATACTTATTGTGGAGGTTTGATTAGCCAGTGTGGTGTAGTGGTTAAGAGTGGTAGTCTCGTAATCTGGTGAACCGGGTTCGCGTCTCCGCTCCTCCACATGCAGCTGCTGGGTGACCTTGGGCCAGTCACACTTCTCTGAAGTCTCTCAGCCCCACTCACCTCACAGAGTGTTTGTTGTGTGGAAGAAAGGGAACGGAGATTGTTTGCCGCTTTGAGACTCCTTAAAGGGAGTGAGGCGGGATATCAAATCCAAACTCTTCCTCTTCTTCTTCTTGATTAGATCCTGCCTTTACTGAACGTTTGTTCTGGTTTGTTTGTGGGACAGTTATATGGCAAGGAGCATTTGTCCTGCTTTCATCCTGATTTCTATGTGCACTGTTTATATATCATTCATTCATTCCACATTATTCAGTGCATTTCCCATTCACTTTCCTAACCTCTCAATTTTTTTTTTTTATTCTAGAAAAACAAAAGGCAACAGAGCCTTTTAATCTATTTTAATGGCACAAAGCTAACTTTCCCAGTAGGTCAGGGGTCAGCAAACTTTTTCAGCAGGGGGCCGGTCCACTGTCCCTCAGACCTTGTGGGAGGCCGGACTATGTTTTGGAGGGGGGGAAATGAACGAATTCCTATGCCCCACAAATAACCCAGAGATGCATTTTAAATAAAAGCACACATTCT